CACCTTAGCTAACTTAACCCTAGTGACTGGCATGGGGTGGGTGGGTGCCGCTTCTGCCTGTAGTCCTTCAAAGAGTCCCCTGCTCACCCTATGTCAATAAACTCACACCCTTTGAGATTGTGTTCGGAGACCTCCACGGCTAGTTCCAGTGCAAATCCCAGACATTATGTTAGACTCCCTGGATGAGTTAACCCAGATCTTACAGCAAATGCAGTTCCATCTTGCAGAAAAATTGGAAAGTTGTTAGACAAGCAAACGCCGAACATGATCTGCAACTGTCAGCCCCATGAGTACCTATTGCAGCTCCTGGAGAATGGGCATTGGTGAAGAGACACGGGTCCCGGAACCTGGAACCCAGGTGGAAAGGACCTTATGAAATGGTCTGCCTATTCTGACAGCCTCCAAGGTTGTCCGACTGAAACCTGCACCAGACCTACCTGAAGAAGGTGCCGCCCCCTCCTGATACCAGCTGGTGGTGGATCCACAGGCACTCGGAGGAAATAGCCCCTTAAACTCCCACTAGAGAAGAGCCGGGGGGAATGAACACTGATTTCCCCCTAAGACTTTTACTGTGGTGAGCTCAGCTAAATGTGCTCAGTGGGTGCACTTGGGACCCCTGTGCCGGAAGCTGAAGCATGGCAAGCCGGCACTCTTCAACTTCATCAACCCCACTGCTATATCGTCAAACGCAACTTTAAGGGGTGTTACAAGTCACCCCTTATCTCACTACCGTCCTACTGAAAGGACAGACTGTAGGGTCCCGGGGTGGGGGGGAGGAATAGGGACTGTGACGGCCAGCTCCCCCGCCACCACCATTCTGGGACTTTTCAATACCGTACTTTTGTCCAAGAGACTTGCTACGATGTTTTGGTGGGCATAGGAACAGAAGTGGCAGGGATGGGAACATCCATCCATTCCTACCGGGAACTGTCGAGCCATGCCATGGAGAACATGCAGTTGTTAGCTGACATCACATTGGACTTAAAAGCCCAGTTGGAGTCTCTGGTGGGTGACCATGTTTTTTTTGGGGGGGTGGGGGGTCACACCTGGCGATGCACAGGGGTTACTCCTGGCTCTACATTCAGGAATTACCCCCGGCGGTGCTCAGGGGACCGTATGGGATGCTGAGAATTGAACTTGGGTCAGCGCGTGCAAGGCAAATGCCCTACCTGCTGTGCTGTCACTCCAGCCCCTGGCGACCATGGTTTTACAAAACAGGAGAGGACTAGCATTACTCACTGCTCGAGAGGCGGGGTGTGCCTTTTTCTTCAGGAGGAGTGCTACTTTGATGCTAACAGGTCTGGAACAGTTGAAGATAAGATCCGGCAGTTACAGGAGGGACTGGAACAGAGATGGAGGCAGCTGGAAAAAGGACAAGTTTTTTTCTGGTCTGGGCTAGAAGGCTGGATGCCTCGTTTACTGCTTTTGTGGGGTCCCATCGCAGCCCTCTGCCTCCTCCTGCTGCTAAGGCCCTGTATATTTAAGCGGCGGGTCACTTTTGTGTCCGAAAGAATTGACACCATAAAATTGATGGTGGTAAAGCAGCAGTATGAAATTTGGGATAGAACGGATAACTTAGACGAACTACCTAAGCTACAAGGAGAGGAGGGATGTAAGGACAACGAAGAAACTGCATAGAACAAGGATGATGAAAAGGTAATGAGAACTAAGAAAATGTAATGAGAACTGGGAAACTGAAACTGACCCCTAGATTCACAAGAGAAGAGAGGAGGAAGTTTTCCTTTTCACGGCCCCAGTCAACCGGGTTCAGGGCCCACCAGATTTATGGGAGTGTATGGGAGGAGGCACATGAAGGCCGCACCAAATGGCCAGGATATACTGACAATGACTTTTCCTTTTGGGCACAGGAAGGCCACACCATATGGGAAGGATGTGTTGTTTTACCTCTGCATCCCTGCTTGGCTAATATAGATGTATGTGGACTGTAGCCCACTCCTAGAGAATGAAAGAAAGACCTCTCAGCGAACAGGGCTACAAGTCTATTTCACTTCCCACTTGGGGGTCCTCAGCGCTGAGTTCATAATAAACTCTCTTTTTTATTATGTCACACCCATCGATGCACAGGGGTTACTCCTGGCTCATGCACTCAGGATTACTCCTGGCGGTGCTCGGGAGACCATACGGGATGCTGGGAATCGAACCCAGTGGGCCGTGTGCAAGGCAAACACTGTTTGCTATCGCTCCAGCCCCCTAATAAACTCTTATTCTGAGCTGTCTCCCTCTCTGGTCATCCCACGGCTTGTGCCAGCACATAATGACCCAGCCAGGGAGAAAAATTCAGAAAGGAAAAGGCCCGTTAAACCTGAGCGGGGAGGGCGTTTGACTTGCACGTGGCTGTCCTGGGTTCGATCTGCACCTTCCCATATGGTCGTTCTCCCTCCCTGCCCCCCTCCCCAGGACAGCCAGGAGTAATTTCTGAGTGCGGAACCAGACGTAACCCTTGAGCATTCTCCTCCAAACCCTCCCCAAAAAAGAGGGAGTAAAGCAGCGTGGATTTCATTTGTTGTTGCTTAGTACACTTTTTGAAGTAAATAGGACACAAGAGTCATGTGGTAATCTTTCTTCTTGGCGGGGACGAGAGTGGGGGACGGCACCCCCGGCGTGCTCGGGGCTTGCTCCTGGCTCCCGCCGGTTGTGCCGTTCCTTCAGTCCTAAGATTTCTTAAGAAAGCCACAAATGCCTCAGATCAGCGCAGCCCAAACCCGAGGCCTCAGCGCAGGCGGCCCCAGCTCCAGCTGGGGGTGCAGAGTCGCCAGGGCAACCCCGCCTCCTCGGCTGCGGGGTTCCGGGTGAGGCGCCCAGAGCGCGGGCGACCGGCGTAGAATCCGAGCGAGCGGCGGCCCGGCTCGCGCAGGCGCGGCGTCCGCGCGATCACGGCGCAGCGCGCGCTCATTGGTGGAAACTGCATCCCTGATTTGCATAGGGCCGGGCGCGCGCCGCGAGGGTGGCTGCCTCTGCGGCGAGGCGGCTCCGAGAGCGGGCTGTGCTGTTGTTGCTGCGGGGAGCCTGGGGACCCTCATCCCGTCCCCCTCGTCCCCCTCGTCGCCCGGGGGCTCGCCCGCATGTGAAGACTCGGTCTTTTGGACTCCCCCACCCCCAAAGAAGGCGCAAATCGGCGCTGGTGGGCCTGGCGACTTCCCCGCGGCGCGGCCTAGGGCCTGGATCCCGGTTCACTGCATCCCTTAGGGCACACCTGAGCCCGCGCGCGTGCGGGATTGCCAGGCCTGTGGGTTCTGTCTGCCACTTCCTGCGGGGACACAGGGCTGGGCGTGGCGGCATCCAAATTCAGTAAACGTCTGCACACGTATTAGCACCCTCAGGAAAGCAGTAACGGACCGCAGACGTTAAGGCGCGCTGGCCTTGCATGCGACTGCGAATCCCTGAAATACACCAGAGCACCTCCAAGAGTGGTCCCTGAGCTTCCCCATTTAGGGGAGAAAATGGTGATTAAATGTCCTCCTCTAGACTAACACCTAAGGACAGCAGAAATAAGGGTCAGGCAGATTGCCCCACAGGTTGGAAGCTGATCTCATGTGCTGGGGAAAAGGTAGCTGGGATGGAGAAAGGAACACTAAGGAAATAATGGTTGGAGGGATTGCTTGGGATACTAGATGGGTGCTAAAAGTAGACTATGGAGCAAACATGATGGCCACTTGTTACCTGGATTGTAAACCATAACACCCAAAAGACAGAGAGACTAAGAGGGAATGTGCCTGCCACAGAAGCAGCAGTGGGAAGGGGTCGAGGTTGGGGGAGTGATGTTTGGAACATTGGTGGTGGGGAATAGGGTGCTTGAACATTGTTTTATTGAAACACAACAACAACAAAAGTTTGTAAGTCTGTAACTATATTTCATGGTGATTCATGAAAAAAAAAAACTAAAAAACAAACAAACAAAAAAGTCCTCCTCTTTATTGAACTAATGATCAGGGGAGACAATAATCACCTCAATCTCTAATTAGGAGGTGAGTGAGTGCCAAGGAAGAGGGTGCAGGGCAGACCACAGGAGAACTACAGGACTGGAGCAGATGCTGTCATCCCTGTTCCTGCTCCCTGTGGGTCTGGCAGGCTGGCCTGGAATTTCTCACCCAGATGGATATAGGTAAGGTGGGAGGCATGGTTGAGGTACCCTGGGCGCTCCTGTTTCCCAGGCACTTGGGTTGTTTGTAAGGTAAAGGATTCTGACAACTTCAAGGAGTTGAGTGAAAAGAGAATCAACAAAGATACCCCCCCTCAAGCCAAGCAGCATTTTCTGGCTAGGAGAGACTTGAAATGCAAAGCTACATGTTTATTGTTCCCTGAAACAGTTTCCTCTTCAGTAAGGCCCAGAGGCACCTGCCCACAAAATCTATTTGGATATTGGATGAATGTCTAGAACACTAAGATCCAGAATCCCCACCAGGAGCATTTTCTGAACAGTTGAAAGTTTATCAAATATACTTTATTCAGAAAAAAAATCTACATCGCTTTTAAAAAACAATTCAAAAAAGAATGGAGGGGTCCTAGCTATAGACAATGGATAAGGTGCTAAACCCACCAGGAGCCCACAGGACAGTGAGTAGGGTGCCGAACCCTGAGCATAGAGCTAGATGTAAGTCCTGAGCACTGCCAGGTGTGGCCCAAAACAAAACAAAACAAAAATCCATAAATAAAAGGCTCCCACAAAAGCAGAGAACACCTGTTTCATTAGAGGCCCCAGGTCAGTGCTGAGAGCTCCAGCCAGGGGCAGCTCCACCAGGGAGAACCACAAGTGTAGTGATGGCAGAGACCCCTGTCACATTCAGGATGGCTACCTGCTTGATGCAACCACAACTCTTCTCTAGCACCATACTACTTCCCAAGACAAATTAAGACACTTTTATAGCAACCACATGTTTTGTTTTGTTTTGGTTTTTAGGTCACACACTTGGCAGCGCTTGGGGCTTACTCCTGGCTCTTGCATTTGGATCACTCCTGGCAGGCTCCGATGACCATATGGGGTGTCAGGGATCGAACCTGGGTCAGTTGCTTGTCTTACCCGCCATACGATCTGAGGCCATGGCCACCATGTTTAATGCAGAACACGATGGTCTTGGTCTCCCTGGGGCAGCCGTGGTGTCCGCAAGGCTCACCCTACTGGCTGTGAGGCCGCTTGGCTAGGGGCTCCTCCTGCTTCAGCCATCGCTCCAAGAGTCCTGCGCCCCCTCTCTTAGCAGGGAGTGGGCTCTTCTGCAAGAACTGGCTGGACCACTGGGGCACATCTGACTCTGCCTTTTGCGGTGTCTGGGGGTCTTCCTTTTTGGGTGATTTTGTGGTCAGCCACTGTAACATCTTCTGGCTACTGCCACTTGCTTTAGGCTCCTGAGGGCAAAAGAGGAAAAAGTTCAATGCACCCAGCCTGTGTCACCTGCAAGCAAAGCTCAGGAGAAGAGATGGGCGAGAGCATGAGCGCCCAGCGAGAGAAGTGCCACCGAGCATCCCGGTCAGGTGCGGAGAATGAAGAGTTCTTGAGGGAAAAAAGAACCTGATGGAGTGCGATGAGCCTGGGCACTGGGTAGTAAGGCTGGAGAGCTCTGGCTTCCCAGAGTCAGAACGGTTAGGATGGCAGCCCCAAGGCTGAACAGACTTTCTCTACTGCACAGTCTCCCTGAGTCTCTCTTTGTGGGCACTGCTCCCTTATGCCGGGCACCCAACTCTGAACTGCTGGTTCTGAATTTGCATAATGCCCGCTTTCCAGAACATCAACTCTTTTTTTTGGGGGGGGAGGGGGCGGATGAAGGTCATACCCAGTGGTGCTCAGGGGACATATGGTAGCAGAATTTGAACCGAGGTCAAATCGACCACAGAAAATGCCAAAACTTAATTTTTATTTACTTTGAGAGGGGAGTTGGAGAGTGGTTCGGGTCTTATGCAGCATTAATCAAAGCATTCTCCTAGCTCTGTGATTAGGAATCACTCCTGGTGGTACTCAGGGGAAGTATGTGGTGCTGGGCAGCAAACCAGGGATGGCAGCATGCAAGGACATCACCTCAATCCCTGTACTGTCTCTATCTCCCCAGAATGTTGATTCTTTTGAAGCAAAAGCCATGCTGAAAATTGGCAGTGTCAAATGCAAACTGAACATGTAATTACATCTCCAGAGACAGCTAAAAACAGCATGAGCTTAACTGTCAGGAGTGCAGGAGTGCAGAGAAGTAGAGCTAAAAAAAAGGTGGACTGTGGGTGTGGCAAATTCAAAAGCAGCAAGGGGTGCTTGTTCCTGCGGTTGCCACAAAATTGAAAGACTCACCAGAGCAGCCCTGGCTCAGGCCTGGAGAGGGTCCAGGCAGCTGGCTCACAGGGCTGAGTGCACGACACAATCCCTGGCTCTGCCCAGTCTCCAAGCAACACCAGGAGTGATCCCTGAGCACAGGATTAAGAGTATCCCCTGAGCACTGTTGGGTGTGACTGCCCCCGCTTCTCCACCAAACAAAAAAAAGAATGCTCTTATTAAAAATAAAGTAGATCCCCGAGGAAAAGCTGCGGATACCTACCTTTGTCAATACTAAGTGAACAGGAGTCACACACTCGGGGGTGTTGTTTCGCGAGTTGTTCACCACGGAGGAGACGGGGTGGAAGGTGATGTTCTCTGTGGGGTGGATCAACTTCAGGGCTTCCTGAGTCGAGACCTCCCCGAAGTCAAGCCACTTGGAAACGGCCTCATCACCGTCTAGGATGGCAGGCATCCTGGGCAGCACATCGGGACACAGTGGGGGCGGGAAGAGAAAGTCAGCCTAGTGCACAAATCCTGACAAGGGGACTGTCCTGTCAAGTGTTCCTGAGTGCCATTTCCATGGCAAGAAGCTCACCAACAGGAAAGGCAGCGGGGACAGTTGTAGAGCACCGGGACAGGGGTTGTGACTCCGTGGGTCCGAGAGAACCCCATGGTGAACACAGACAACTCACCAGCGGAATGTGACCTTGCCCTTGCGTGAGTCACAGATGCTCACAACCACCCCAGCCCACTGCATCCTCCACTGCCAAGCTGTGTCAGGCTAGTCTTTTGCACTTGGGAATTTTTCTATGTACTAAATAAAACTATTCACAGCCAGGGAGATAGTTTAAAGGGCTCGTGTGCAAGTTCTGCATGTGAGAGTCCTGGGAACAGCATCATCCCCTGAGACCTGAGCCATACCAAGTGCCACTAGGTATGGCTCCCAAAACAAAACAAAAAGTCGATTTAACACAGCAAACGGGTCTAATCTTTGTAGCTTAAAACATATTAAGGAAGAGGCTGAAGTGATAGAGCAGTGGGTAGGGCACTCGTCTTGCACAGGCTGACCCGGGTTTGATCTCTGATACCTTATAAGGTTCCCCAGACCACTGGAGTGATCCCTGAGTGCAGAGCCAGGAGTAAGACCTGAGCACTACTGAACTGGGTGTGGTCCAAAAGCAAGCAAGCAAGCAAACAAAAACCACAAACAGGCTGGCACAATAGTACAGCCCAAAAGGTGCTCCTTGCCTTGCATGTGGCCAATCCAAGTTCAATCCCCGGCATCCCATATGGTACCCCAAGCACTACCAAAAGTCATTCCTGAGTGCAGAGCTAAGAGTACCCCTGAGAATCACTGGGTGTGGCCCAAAAACAAAACAAAGCAAAAAAAAAAAAAACCCAAACAAAACAAGACAAAACCCAAAACATACAAACATACTAAGGAATACAAGCAAATGAAAAAAATGTTTTTTTTCCTTGTAGGGGTTTCTTGGAGGGCAGTAGGGGCAGGAGTGTGACACTTGGCAGTTCTTAGGGCTACTCCTCAGGGATCACTCCTGGGATCATATGCGGTATTGGGGATCAAACCCAATACCCAATTGCTGTACTATCTCTCCGTCTCTCCGGTCCTTGACAAAGGTTTGAAGTGTTATTCCCGGTGCCTGTTTTCTCATTTCCACCTATTCTCTGTGCTTTTTGGTTCTTTTTTTTTGGGGGGGGGGGGGAGTAGGGGTGGGGAACACACTCGGGGCTCACTCCTGGCGGGTTCAAGGAACCACATGGGGTATTGTGGAAGTACCTTTCTGCTGTGCTATTGCTCTGGATCTAGTTCTGTGTTTTTCACGGGTCTGGTGAAAAACAGGGTCTGGTGACTTTCAGGAGTGCATGTCCCGAAGCACAAACTGACAGGAACTGGACTTTGTGAAGCAACTATCTTAGCTTCCTACTTTCCAAATGTATACACACAGAAGCCTTGAACTCCCTGAGCCACCTATTGAAACGCAAAGATGACAAATCCTCCTGTGAATTCCCTGGGCCCAGGCCTCTGAGTGTGACTTGCCTGGGGTGGATGTCACTCAAGCCTTTGCAGGCATCCACAGTGATGATGGTGTAGGAATACAGGCAGTCTCCTCCCTGAGGGGGCTCCCAGCACTCAAAGATGCCAGCCATGGTCAGGGGGCGCCAGCTGTCCCACACTTTCTCCCAGTCTTCACGCTGTTCTGCAGCATCAACATGGCCTGACTGGAGGCAGAAAAAACAGGTAAGATCCCCAGGAGTCACCTGCACAAGGGCTGGATGCTACTATACAAGTACTTAAGACCCTGGAATCCTAGAACTATTCCAGCCTCAGCCTTCTCATTTGTTTTTGTGTCAAACTTGGCAGTGCCGTAAGCCCTGAGCATCGCAGGGTGTGGCAAAAACAACAACAATAAAAGATTCATTTCGGATTAGTGTTTGAATATTATTTGTAATGGACTACTGTGCACTACTTTATGAAAATAAAATATATAAAAAAACTGAAAAAAAAATCATTTCAATCCTAAGCATACAGAAAAGTATGCTGAAAAGTCACCACGCATGATAAGAGCATGATAATCTACAGAATTATACCTTTTTTTGGTTGTTTATTTGGTTCACAGCCAGCAGTACTCAGGGTTCTATGCTCAGAGATCACTCCTGGCAGGGATATCGGGGACCATATGAGGTGCTGGTGATTGAACCTGGGTCAACTGCATGCAAGGCAAGTGACCTGCCCACTCTGCTATCTCTCCATCCCCCAAATACAACACTTGCCTTACATCCAGCAGATCTGGGCTCAACCCTCAGCACCACAAAAAGACAAAAGCCCTGAGCACTGCTGGGTGTGGCCCAAACACCCTCCACCCTCCAAAAATGAATTTATCTCAAGAAAGTTGTTGTTAAACTTTATGAAGGAAGCCCAAGATGTCTCTGGCATATTTTCTCGGTACACTTTACAGTATCTACTGGGCTGCCAACAATACCTTTTCTGTCTTGGCCTGGGGGAAGTAGATGAAATAGGGCTGCCTCTGGCTCGACAGCTGACTTCGCTGCCACTCGTAGAACCCGTCTGCTAACACCACACAGCGCCTTCCCTTTCCCAAAGGCACCTGTGGAATAATGTGAGCAAGACTTGAGCTTAGTGACAGAATCAAAGAGTTAAAATCACAGATGTTTACCCCAGGTTACCTAAGAACAGTGGCTTTATTTCTCTTTGTCGTGCTTTTTTAGTCTGTTTTTTTGGGTTATACCTGGTGGTGCACAGGGGTTACTCCATATGGGATGCTGGGGATTGAATCTGGGTTTGCTGCGTGAAAGGCAAATGCCCTACCCTACCTGCTGTACTGTCCCTCCAGCCCCTGCTTTCCTTTTTAAAGAATTTTATTTTAAGCACTGTGACTTACTGTTACCAGTAGGGTCTCATGGACTTGTTCCTTTGCAACCCTCTCCACCAGTGTCTAACATCCTCCATCACCACTGGCCCAGTACCCTCCGCCTTTCATTCCGTTCCCCTAACCCCCCAGAAGCCCACAGCAAGTCTCAAGTTCTATTGCCTTTGGCCTTTTGCTATTCTCTTATTTTGCTTCTTTATATCACAAGCTACCCGTGACGTATTCGATATGCCAAACACAGTAACAACAAAGTCTCCAATGGAGACGTTACTGGGCCCGCTCGAGCAAATCGATGAACAACGGGAGGATCGTGACCGTGATATCACAAACAAGAGAAATCATTGTGTATCTGCCTCTTTCCTTCTGGCCAACTTTACTCATCATGATACTCTGCAGTTTTACCCATGTGGCAGCAAACTGCATGATTTTGTCTTTTTTTTTCTTCCCCCTTTGAGGAGGGTGTTCACATATGGCAGTGCTCATGCTCAGGGGACCATATGTAATACCAGGGAACAAACGCCCTACCTGCTGTGCTATTGCTCCAGTCCCCCATCTTTTTTTTTAATAGTCATTTCTTATTTTTTGTTGACTCACCATTGATATACAGTTAAAAAGTCATTCCTGATTGAGCTAAGCAGTATTCTTACATCTAAGTAGTACTCCACTGTGTGCCTCACTTTTCTTATGAGGATGCAAGATGAGACAATGCACATAGTAACAACAGCTCTAAAAAATGGGCTCATGCAATAGCTGGTGCCCAGAGCTGATGGCATAATGAACCCTGAGTCCCAGGGGTCATACCCTGCACCCAGAGTTTGGGCTGACACTGCATGAATGACAGAGCAACAGAAGGGAGGCTGAGACTGAGCAAGGCTGGGTCATCAAGCCTTACTCCTTCTGCCCTATCTTCTGGAACACGAGCTCTGGTGTAAGTCAGACCCTGTGTAGGAAATGAAACCTGAGTACCTGCTTAGACAACCCTGCTTAGAAAGGCTTCTAGACTTCTGATCGTCCCAGTTGAATGGTGAGACATTTGGGTACTGAACCCAGCCATCTTGGACACCAGTCTGAGTGTCATCTGATGGCAACTTCAGGAAAACCTCCAAACTGCAGAAAAACTGTTAGGTTGAGGGCGAGAGAGACAGATGACTCAAAGGGTTGCAGTGTGCATGCTCTGCCTGGTGGAGCCCCAGGTTGGATTTCCAGTACCAATTGTCACACGGGTGCCTCCAGGAGCAAACCCTGAGGACCGTGCTGGGACCAGGACATGAGAACTGGCAAATATGGCCAAAACAAAACAAAACAAAAATGTTCAGTTGAGCCCTGTCAACCTACAGAACACAAGAGATCATAGTGAAATTCTTTTATGGTTTTTGTTTTGGGAATCAAGCAGTGCTCAGAGGACCATACACAGTGCTGGGGATCAAAGAGAGGTCAGCTATGTGCAAGGCAAGACTCTTAACCCCTGTACTATTTCTCTGGCCCAGTACATTTACTTTAAACCACTTTTTTTGGTTTTGGGCTACACCTGGTGTTACTCAAGTGCTTACTTCTGGGTCTGTGCTTGAAGGGTCAGGAGCAGGGGTTCATTGTTGGCAGTGCTGAGGGAACCAGATACAGCTCTATGGATCATACTAGGGGGTCAGCTGAATGAAAGGCAAGTACTTTCACCCCTGTACTATCTTTCTGGCTCCCACTTTTAAGTTTGTTACACATTCAATGAATAGATTAGTAGTATTCAATGTTACTTTAACAATGTAATAAGCAACATTCAATATTACATTAACTCCTATGAACACTCTTGGTTTTGTTTTTTCATGGAACTGGGGAACACCTGGCAACACTCTAAGTTACTCTGGTGGTCCTCAGGGACCATAAGGTATGCCAGGACTGAACCTGGGTGGCCAGCACACAAGGCAAACGCTCTACCCACTGTACTATCACTCCAGCCTCATGAACACACTTTGTAACTTCGGGGAAGAAAATCTTATGTTATTTCTCACAAATATAATATTCACCAACAGTTCTGTTAGGAGAAAGAAGAGAATACCTGGATCTTCCCTAGCCCAGCTCCTACCTTGAATGACTTCTTCTCCATTATGGTATCACTGCGACAGTTGGTCATGTTGAACTGCAACTTGGAAGGATCATCTTCTTTAAACCACGATGGAACCAAACCCCACCGCATGGGGGCGATAACACGCTCCGATGAGTCTGCACCCTGCCATGGGGAAAGAGTTAACATCCGTGAAAGAGATCATGGTGAAATGGAGAAGACCAAATGGAGCACATCATTACATTATTATGTCAGAAGGCAAAGAATAAAAAAATCATTAAATCATTAAAGAAAGGAAAGATTCTGGGGCTGGACAGAGATAGTACAGGGGTAAAGACACTGGCCTTGCATGTGGCTGACTCCGTGGGGTTTGTACTACATTATACATGGATGGACATGGAGAGCAGCATGCGAGCAAAATGAGTCCAAGGCAAAGGAACAGACATAGAATGATTGCACTCATTTGTGGGACAGTAAAAAAACATAGTATTAGACTAATGCCTAATGATAGAAACATACCCAAAGACAAGAGAAACAGGACCAGGAGGACTGGTGGATGGTTGGAAGATTGCCACAAGTGGGAGGGGGGAGAGGAAGGCAGATAGGACAGAGATGGGACTACTATGACAATGATAGCTGGAAATGATCACTCTGGACAAAAACTAAGTGCTGAAAGGAGGTAAAATGATACACACGATGACCTTTCAATCCCTGTATTCAAACCATAATGCCTAAAAGAGAGAGCAAGAGAGAGAAGTATCTGCCACAGATGCAGGCTGGGAGGGGTGGCAAGAGGGAAACTGGGGATATTGGTGGGGAAAATGTACACTGATGAAGGGACAGGTGGTGGAACATTTTATGAATGAAACCCAATCATAAACACCTTTGTAATTGTTGTTCTGAAACCACAGTGATTCTAAACAAACAAAAAACCAAAAACAAATAAAGGCCTCCAAGAACTACCAGGAGTGATACCCTACCAGAACCAGAAGTAGCTTGGTACCACTGGATGTGGCTCCAAACCCAAGTCAAACAAAATTGTGGGGCTTAGGGATAGCTCAGTGCTAGCGTCTCTGCCTCACAAGCACAAGGCTCCAAGTTCAATCCCTGACACTGTCCCATGGGCCTGAGCCTGGCTGCTCTGATATTTGGCATCCCCAGTGCCATTACAGAAATGATCAATCACTGGTACACCAAAACCAAATGTGTGAGCCCCTCAATCAAGTGGGTGACTCTGATGATGAGCATGGCAATAAAAGCAAGCAAGCACCAAGAAATCCAGCTACTCCAAGACTGCCTGCTGTCACATGGGGGTGCTCCGGCGAGTAACTGTGCTAGGGCGCATGAACTGCTGGGGAGTAAGTGACGGTGCAGAGGATAGCAAATGTTTCTGTAAAAGGCAAAGACTGAGTATTTCAGACATTGTGCATCTCTATGGCAACCATAACTGCTGGGACAAAGCGAAAACGAAAAAGGAAAAAGTAAATGGGTGTTGCTATGTTCCATAAAATATCATTTTCAGAGACTAGAGAGTACATTTGCTTAAGGGGCTTGACTTGTAAACAGCTTGATCCCCTGCACCTAATCTGGTCCCCAAAGCAATGCCAGGAGTGATCCCTTAGCACAGAGCCATGAGCAAGTCCTGAGCACTGCCCGATGTGGCCACCTCAAAATTGTCTCTTTCCCCCCCCTAAAAATGGTTGAGGGCACTAGTTTTCTGACTCCTGCTCTAGCTTTGTGCTTCTTAGAACTTCTTCTACTGGTAAAGTCTTTTCAGATGAAATTTATTCTTCTTATTAAAAATTAGCACTGTAGGGGCTGGAGCGATGGCATAGCAGGTAGGCATTTGCCTTGCACGCTGCCAACCCAGGTTCGAATCCCAGAATCGCATATGGTCCCCTGAGCACTACCAGGAGTAATTCTTGAGTGCAGAGCCAGGAGTAACCCCTGTGCATTGCAGGGTGTGATGCAAAAATAAATAAATACATAAATGAATAAATAGCACTGTCCTCAGGTTATTCACTGGTTTGCTCAAGCAGACACCAGTAACGTCTCCATTGTGAGACTTGTTCCTGTTTTTGGCATATCGAATATGCCACAGGGCACTCGCCAGGCTCTGCCGTGCAGGTGGGATACTTTCGGTAGCTTGCCAGGCTCTCCGAGAGGGATGGAGGAATCAAACCTGGTTCGGCTGTGTAAAAGGCAAACACCCTATCCACTGTGCTATCACACCTTAAATTAAAATTTTAATTTAATTAAAAATTTAAAAAAATTTACAAGGTTATTTACAACCACGATTTGTAAGGTAAATCATAGTTGGGCCTTCGACATACTATGTTCCAGCACCAATCCTACTGCCAGTGTCTTTTTCCCTCCACTAGAATGCCCAGATTCCCATCTTCTCAACTTCTGATCCCCAGCCTGGCACCTTAATAGGTACTTTCTGTTTTATTTTTAGGTCACACCCAACAGTGTTCAGGGATCACTCCCAGCAGGCTTCCAGGACCATATAGGGTGCTAGGGATTGAACCTGGGGTTTGGCCACGTGCAAGACAACAGCTCTACCTGCTGTACTATTGTTCCAGTCCCTGTTTTAGGTTTTTTGTTTGTTTAAGACTATTTAATATTGTGTTGATCCATTAACATTAATAACCACAGCCAACAGTACTGTAACTCATGCCTTGTCAAGTGGTGAAAACGTGTATTTTCTCTGTAGGGCGCATCACAACCTTCTCGCTTCAAGGCATACCAAACAGTACTTTGTGTGATGCTCGGGGTGAGATTGGGGTGTCCCTGGTGGTTACTGGATCCCTGAGCTAGCACTGAATCATCCAGCCTGACTGGCCGAGAATGACTGAAAGCGGTGGTCCTGGACCCCTTGTGCACCACCTGGGAAACCCCCTCATTTTCCTCCCGAAATAATGTAGCTTGGGGAGCGCTCAGCAGTAGAGCGCTCGCTCTGCATGTACGAGGTCCCTTGCACATCACCTGGGAAAACCCCTAACCTTCCTCCCACGAAAATGTAGCTGGGGTTGTAGCTTAGCACTACAGCACTTGCTTGGCATGTATGTATAACACCCTGACACTGTCCCTGGCACCACATAAATTCATGAAACAGTTATTTCACTAATAAAAAGCACAGACATGCACCAAACAGATCACAGAAAGGACATTTATGGGGTCAGAGTGATAATCCAGTGGGCAAGACGCTTGCCTCATACATAGCTGCCACAGCTTTGATCCCTGGCACCACGTATGGCCCCCAGTGCCACCAGAAGCCTTCTGGAAATGGGGTGGGCCAAGTCCCCACCCTGTTGAAAGGTCTAGCACTCCACCTACACCCAACTTCTGCTGGCAAATAAAGGACCTAGCTGAGATACCTTGATGCTGACGCTGAATTGTCTCAGCTCCATAGCTCCTGGAGTGCATGACATCTCCAAATTCCACAGCTCTGACAGCCCAGTAGGAGCACAGCAAATTTGATGGGGAAACTGTGCAGAAGCCCACTAAGCTCCATGAGCGCAAACAGTAACACAGAATACTCACCTAGCACCTAACAGCTCCATAAATCCAACTAGTAATACCATCCTGTAAGATATTTTGTGCCTGCTAAGGGGATAGGCTTGCGGGGCTGGTGGTGGTGGGGAGACAGTGGCTGTGGACATTGGTGAAGGGAAGACACAATAGTGGTGGGATTAGTGCTGAAATATCGAATATCTGAAATAACTGTATTATGAACAACTCCATTAATCACAGTGTTTAAAGAAAGTTTCAAACAAAATAAAAAAGAGAGCGAGAGAGAGGGGCTGGAGTGATAGCATAGTAAATAAAGCATTCGCCTTGCACATGGCTGACCCAGGTTCAATCCCTGGTATATCAGGAGTAATTCCTGGGGGCAGATCCAGGAGTAACCCCTGAGCATCACAGGGTGTGGCCCCACTGCCGAGAGAGAGAGAGAGAGAGAGAGAGAGAGAGAGAGAGAGGAGAGTGAGAGAGAAGACAGGAGAGAAGAGAGGAGAGAGAGAGAGAGACAGAGATCCTACTTGACAGATCCCTCTCAGTAAGTCAGTTTAACAGGACACTGAGAAATCCTCTTACAAAGTCCAAAGATCACCTTTAAGGCGAGTACCGTCACTGTGCTACTACAAACCCAAATGCGAGGCTGCCCCCTGCTGGAGTGATGAAATGAAAGTGGCTAAGAAGCAGAAACAATGCAAATGAGGCTCAATATTAGTCACCTTCTAACCATTCTGACCCTTTGGTCTAATGATGAAACAGCTGGTATCACTGGGGCAGGGAAAAAGGAAGAAATGCGCTCATCAGTGGTTTCAAATGCAAATGCTGCCCAATATGTGCATGTGCTGGCTGTTGGCCGTTGAGAAGACAAGGTTAATGAACTGCTGCAATGGTTCTAATTTTGTTGTTTTAAGTAAATTTACCAGTTTAAAATGACAGGTTTAAGTAAATTTACAGGTTTAAAAAAAAACGAACTCCAACTATTTACAAATATTAGGAAGCCCTAGTGATCGCGCGACAGAATCTGCTGAAGCTGTTGGTGGTGGGAGGGAGCAGTAACACAGAGGGTAGGGCGCTTGCCTTGCACACCGCCAACCTGGTTCAATCCCCACCACCACATGCGGCACCCTGAGCCGCCAAAAGTGATTCCTGAGTTCAGAGCCAGAAGTAAAACCCGAGCACAGCCAGGTGTGGCTCCAAAAGCAAATGAAGCTGTGGAGTCAAATGTCACATCAGTGAATTCATACCAGACAAAACAGAGGCCTGCATTTTCCAGGGCTCTACAGTCCCCATTCCCGGCTCCAGGATGCACCCACTAAAGTGGAACAGTGTCTGGACCTCAGCCTCAGCTGACTGGGTAGCATGGAAGATTGTGCCTCCCACACTTCCTACATCTGTTAGGATGATTTTTCTTCCATTCACTCTGTAATTCCAAAGAGGCGGTCTGAAGGCAAAAAAGAATGAAACTCTAACATTTTGTGGGAAGGGGGTACTCCCGAAGACACTCAGGGGTTACTCCTGGCTCTATGCACTTAGGAATCACTTCTGGTGGTGCTTGGGAGACCAAACTCTGGTTGGCTGCATGGGATGCTGGGGATCAAATTCCGGTTGGCTGTGCGCAAGGCAAGTGCCTTACCTGCTGTTCTAGGTCTCTGGCCCCAACGCTCAAACGCTCTTAACTTTTCTTACTCTTGTACTTCAAATTATGCCTTCATTTGAAACATGTTTTATTTTTTGTTTCCAATCAAGACCCCACACAGCTGTTCACTTTGATTTTCTAGTAATTAGACTTAACAATATTTTTTCTGTTTCAATCGGGAAGTATCCACTGAAAACGAGGAATGAATAAACTACTTACTTCATGTTAAATGATTTCATTTACTCAAACGTCGAGATGGTAGAGATTAAGGTGCTTGCTGGGCAATATAGCCAACCCTGTTCGATCCCCAGCACTGAACAGAGACCAGGGAGTACTGCCAGGGGTCATTCCTGAGCACAGAGCCAGGAACAGCTTCTGAGCTGCTACAGGTGGTAGCAAAAACAAAACAAAAAACAAAATAAAAACGAAACTGAAACAACCTAAATGGCTCTGATTATGAGTGAGGTTTGAAAGATGCTGTCTTTTTCTTTTCTTTTTTTTTTTTTTTTTGCTTTCTGGGTCACACCCGGCAATGCACAGGAGTTACTCCTGGTTCATGCACTCAGGAATTACTCCTGGCGGTGCTCGGGGGACCATATGGGATGCTGGGAATCGAACCCAGGTCGGCCGCGTGCAAGGCAAACGCCCTACCCACTGTGCTATCACTCCAGCCCCAAGATGCTGTCTTTTTTGTTGATGTTTCTGAGCCATACCTGGCAGTTCTCAGGGATCTCTCCTGGTGATGCTAGACAGACCATATGAGGTGCCAGGGATCAAATCTGGGCTAGCTGAATGCAATGCCTTAAGCACTGTATCTCTCCAGCGCTCTAGCTGCTGTCTTAAAGGCATGTGCAACACCGCTGTGAGAGAGTTTCAAGGGTTGCAGTACATGCTTCACACGCAGGAGCCCAGGGTGTGCTCCCCAGCACCTCACGGTCCCTCGAGCATTGCCAGAAGTGGCCTAAAAAACCCAAAGGAAAAAAGACATTCAAATTTCAGACACACAGAAGACAAGGATGGAGACTAACATGCCTGGTATTTGGAAAGCTCAGAAATAGCACTAAAGACTAAGTCATCGGGGCTGGAGTGATAGCACAGTGGGTAGGGCGTTTGCCTTGCAAGTGGACAACACGGGTTCGATTCCCAGCATCCCATATGGTCCCCCGAGCACTGCCAGGAGTAATTCCCGAGTGCATGAGCCAGGAGGAACCCCTGTGCATTGCCAGGTGTGACTCAAAAAAAGGGGGGAAAAAAAAAGACTAAGTCATCTTCTGAGATTAGAAGGCAGTGATGAGAGGCTGGAGATACTGTGCAACGGGTAAGGGTCTTGCCCTCCCTCAACCCGGGTTGGGTCCCCGGAACTCCTCATGGGCCTCAGAGCCCAGCCAAGAGAGACCCCCGAGCGCAGAGCCAGAAGCCAGCCCTGGGCCCTGCTGGGTGTGCCCACCGCCAACACCAAGGATAAAGACCCCAATGATCAAAGGTCTTAGATCTTAGATCTTTGACCGGCAGCTGCGCCTGTTCCATCCCCGTCACCCCCTAGGGGTCCCGCGCACCGCCAGGAGTGACCCCCCACCCCCACCCCCGCCGTCGTTAACGCGGCCGTCAAGCCACAGAGGGCCCCGGGACAGAAACGGGCGGTACCTTGTCCAGGTGCAGTCGCGACAGCAGCACGGGGCTGTGGGACTGGGGGCTCTTGTTGTAGGAGGGCGCGTACTTGTCGGGGTCCCGCCACTCGGGCAGCTGCCGCCGGCCCTGCCGGTCGCGGTAGGCGCAGGCGCGCGCGAGGACGTCCCGGGGCAGGTGGCAGGACGTGCGCCCGCACATGGTGGCCGGTCCCGGAACCCCTGCAGGCGGGCGGCGGGGTCAGCGCCGGGGACCAGCGGCACCTGCAGCCGGCACCCTGCAGCCTGCTACCTTGCAGCTTGCACCCTGCAGCCCGACCCTGCAGCCTGCAGCCGCCCCGGTCCCGCCCGGTCCCGCCCCGCCCCGCGCCGGCCCGGCCCGTTTCCCCCGCCCCCCCCCCCCCGTCCCTCTTGCTCCCGGCCCGGTCCCGCCTCACTCACCCCGGCCCGGTCCCGCTTCCCCCCGGCCCGGTCCCGCCTCAGCCTCACGCCGGCCGGGCCCGCTTCTCCCCCCGCCCTCCCGACCCGGCCCGCTTCCTCCCGACCCGGTCCCGTCTCGGCCCCGTCCCGGTCCCGCCTCACGCCGACCCGGTCCTCCTCACTCCCCCCCGACCCGGCCCGCTCCCCGCTCCCGGCCCGGCCGCTCCCGCCGCCTCACCCGCCCCTCAGCCCGTCCCGCCTCACCTTCAGGCGGCCCGTGTCGCTCCCTCAGCTCCGCCTCAGACCCCGCGCGCCGCGGCCCAGGCCCCGCCCCCGAGGTCGGCCCCGCCCCCGGCCGGGTGTGGGAGGCTCCCGGACGTTCCTGCCTCGGAGTCCCCGCGGCTTCCCGGCTGGGATCACAAGCCCCGCCCCCGAGCTTTTCCGGTCGCGTCGAAGGCCACGCCCTCAGAGGGCGGGGAACCCGGGGACGTCCCGGATCCTAAGCCCCGCCCCCAGAGCGCCCTGGCTGGCGCGGGATCCCAGCTCCTATTTCTCCATCAGGACCCAGAGTGAAAGCGCCCCAGGAAACTGTGGTTGCTTCGGGCACCCTCACAGTGGCCGCTCGCAGCCGCCTCCTACCCCGCGGGCTAACACTCCTCCCGGGGGCTTTCCCTCCCCCTCCCCCGCACCTCCGGATGCTTCTCTGCAGTGGGACGTGGGAGTGGGACTGGCAGGGAACTCATTCCTTGCAGGCGGCTCCACTTGCTGGGGCGATTGTAGAGTGGGGAGGGCACTTGCTTTGCGTGTGGCCGACGCCTGCTATATGGTCACCCTAACACACCACCAGGGCTGATTCCTGAGTACAGAGCCAGGAGTGGCCCCTGAGCATCGCTGGATGTGGCCCCAAAACACACATCCGGGCAAACTCCGTTCCAGGCCTGACGCTTGGGAACACCTTAGTAATCCCCCCAAACCCTCTGGGTCTTCAGGTATTTCCTGAAACAGCAGGGTGTGTGAGAATGTCGAGGAAGTCCAACACCTGCCCACTCTATACCACCACACCCTGCTCCTGGGGTTGGGGTTGGGGAGGTGTGGGGGGATTCTCACAGAGACAGGCGGGAGAGGGGCTGCCTCCACCTGGGTGCGGAGTGATCCTGCCACGGGCAGGTGGGTAGCCCTAAGGAGGACTCTGGGAGGAGTAGCAATCATTCAATAAATACACGCTGATTTATTCATAAGGACCAGATGGTTTCTTTGTCCAGGAGGTAATGAGCATTTTATTCACTGGCATTTTATTCCTGTTCTAGGTCAAGCTAAAATCATCTCGTTTCATATATATTTATACATTTTAAAAAAAGACTGAGGGCCAAAGGTTGAACTGAACAACAGCAGAAAGTCCTCCATGATTTATAATCGTTTCTAATAGAGGCCTGGGAAGGAGTTTCCATTTGGGACTGGGTTCAGGGCAAAGTGTCAGTGGCCTCTCTGGATGGGCGAAGGTTTGGGTCGGGTGGTGCAGGATGCTTCTTAACCCACGGAGGCCAGGATGATGTCCACTGGCAACTCCTCCGAGCTCCTGGCTGTCACCTGCATTGTGACTGTGTCCAAGAGCAGAAGCCGGGAGCGCACCAGGATGTCGTGGCCGCCCCGGAAAACACCTGGAAGAAAGGACGGGTACAGGTGAGGAAGGGAGCAGTGGTAGAGGGGGGCGTCTGGAGCCGGCCCTTGCCTTCGCCCCCTGCACTGCAGAGGCTCTAATACCCGTTGCACGATTCAAACTCTGCAGAGCTCGGCTGCCTGTGGAGCTCGGGTCCCCTGCCCAGGGGCTTCCACCCACTGGCTGATCTAAGAGCACAGCTGAAGGGGCAGCCCCTGTTTCCCCCACCCCCAAACCACAGTGCAGGTGTCTGCCAGCCTGGGGGCCAGGAAGAGGACGTGAGGACCGTCAGCTGTGAGCAGCAGGGCAGTGAAGCAGAACTCCGCGCTCTGTGCTCTGTTTATAAATACTCGGCAAAAACTCCTCCCCTTCCGTTCAGTTCAATGTTTTTATTTTTTTGGTTTTGGGGCCACACCCGGTGTTGCTCAGGGGTTCCTCCTGGCTCTGCGAGCAGAAACCACTCCTGGCTGTGCGCAAGGGACCGTAGGGGGTGCCAGGCTTGGACCCAGGTTGGCATGTGTGAGGGAAACCCCCTCCCCCAGCACCGTTTGTTGCTTTTAGGGTGCTGCACTGCTCATTGCCCTTCCCCATACCTTTTGGTTTCTGTTTTTGGGTCACACTCAGTGGTGCTCAGAGATCACTCCTGGCTCTGCACTCAGGACACACACCTGACAGTACCTGTGTGCCAGGCAAGTATTCTGCCCACTGTATTGCCTTTCAGGCTCCCTATCATTCTCTATTTATTTTTGTTGTTTTATTTTTTTCTGGCTTTTTTGGGTCACACCTGGCGATGCACAGGGATTACTCCTGACTCTGCACTCAGGAATTACCCTGGTGGTGCTCAGGGGACCATATGGGATGCTAGGAATCAAACCCGGTCAGCTGCATGCCAGGCAAATGCCCTACCTGCTGTGCTATTGCTCCAGCCCCTCATTCTCTATTTTTAATAATTTAGTTTTTTTTTAAATTTTGGGGCCACACCTGGCTGTGCTCAGGGTTTACTCCTCGTTCTGCACTCAGGAATCACCCGACATACGGGGGACCATATGGGATGTCTGGGATCAAACCCTGGTCGGCCGTGTGCAAGGCAAACACTTACACCTGTTGTACTATCGCTCCAGTTCCCATACTCCTTTTTTTTTTTTTTTTGCTTTTTGGGTCACACCTGGTAATGCACAGGGGTTACTCCTGGCTCTGCACTCAAGAGTTACTCTTGGCGGTGCTCAGGGGACCATATGGGATGCTGGGAATCGAACCCGGGTTGGCCGCGTGCAAGGCAAACGCCCTACCCGCTGTGCTATCTCTCCAGCCCCCCCCACGCTCCATTTTTAAAAAAAGTAATTCTCTTTGTGAGAAACATACATATACAGAAACATTTACATACAAGATGCTCTCTCTGGAATTTGTCTTATTTAGAAGATTAAAACTTTTTTTTTTGGTGCTGGGGATCAAAACCATGCTTGGCATGTACTCTACCACAGAGCTAAGTACCTGGTCTGAAATCTGCTTTAAAATATGCATGGGATAATGAGGGGCTGGAGAGCTAGTACAGCGGGGAGGGCGTCTGCCTTGCACAGAGCTTGATCTGGGTTCGATTCCTAGCATCCCATATGGTTCCTTAAGCACCACCAGGAGTAATTCCTGAATGTAGAGTCAGGAGTAAACCTCTGAGCATCACCAGGTGTGACTCAAAATTCCAAAATAAATAAATTAAATACCTGAGAGCTGGGCTGGAGGATAGTACAGTGAGGAAGGCACTTGCCTTTTTTTTTCTTTTTGGGTCACACCTGGCGATGCAGAGGGGTTACTCCTGGCTCTGCACTCAGGAGTTTCTCCTGGCGGTGCTCAGGGGACATATGGGATGCTGGGAATCGAACCCGGGTGAGCCGCATGCAAGGCACACACCCTACCCGCTGTGCTATCACTCCAGCCCTGCACTTGCCTTTAATTGTTTTCATTTTGGGGCCATAACTAGTGTTGTTCAGGACTTATTCCTAGCTCTATACTCACAAATCACTCCTGGCAAGCTTGGAAGAACTATAAGGGGTGCAGGAATCGAACCCGGGTCTAGTGCATGGAAGGCAAACACTCTCCCATGCGGTACTATAGCTCTGGCACCTTGGGGGATATTCCCTTAAAACACAGTGCATCCTGGGGCTGGAGCGATAGCACAGTGGGGAGGGAGTTTGCCTTGCACGCGGCCGACCCGGGTTCGATCCCCAGCATCCCATATGGTCCCCTGAGCACCGCCAGGAGTAATTTCTGAGTGCAGAGCCAGGAGTAACCCCTGTGCATCGCCAGGTGTGACCCAAAAAGCAAAAAAAAAAAAAAAAACCACAGTGCATCCAAGGCCAGAGTGATAGAACAGCGGATAGGGTGCTTGCCTTGCACGCAACTGACCTGAGTTCAATTCCCAGAACCCTTAGGGTCTCCTGAATCAGCAGGAATCATCCCTGAGCACAGTCAGGAATAAGTATTGAGCACAGCTGTGTGTGACCCAAAAACAAAGCAAGAAGACAGATCTGTTCAGTGGAATATAGTCTGGAGTTTCACACAATCACACAACAGACATTAGGATCAGACTCAGGGTGACAGGAAAGGTCTGTAGATGTCTGGAGGTGATGGGCACACAATGGTGTGGCTTTTCTCTAGGCTGTGTGCCTGAAATGGTTAAGATCAGTGTGTGTGTGTTTGTGTGTGTGTTGTGTGTGTACATTCTTCAGTTACAGTCTTTTTCCACCCCGTGAATTCTGAGTGCCTTCGGAAGGGTGAGCAGCGTGCAGCCTGACAGCATTCTGGGCCCTGCCCGCCCTCTCTCTCCCCTGCAAAGCTCCTCACCGGCCAACAGCAGTGTGTGCGTGTTCTTGTTGTCTGGTACTTTGTCCGAGCGCTCGCACGGGTGCATTCCCAGGAACTTCACAATATTGCCCACAGCCTCTGCAGCAGGGGAGAATTCCCAGTATCATAAAGGTGTCACCCCCAGGAAGCCCCCAAACCCTTTTCTTTGTGTGTTCTGGGACCACACCTGGCTATGCTCAGGGCTCTATGCTCAGGGAACCAGATGGGGTGTCAGGGATCAAGGCGATGGCCTTGTGCAAGGCACAACCTACCTACCCACTGTACTATCTCTCTGGTCCCAGACCTCGGTTATCAGAATTTCTTTACAATTTTGGTTTGGGGGCTATACCTGGTGGTGCTAGGGGGCTACTCTGTGCTTGGGGGTCATTCCAGGTGGAGCTCAGGGAACTGACTATATGGTGTCCGGGACCAAATCCGGGTGGGTATCCCACATGCAAGTCTGTGTTCAACTCTTTGAGCTGAGCCTTTTTTTTTTTTTTTCGTTTGGGGGCCACACCTGGTGGTGCTCAGAACTTACTTCTGGCTCTGCACTCAGGAGTCTCTCCTGGGGGGGCAGAGGGGCTTAGGAGACCATATGGGCGATGCCGGGGGTCGAAGCTGGGTCAGTCGTGTGCAAGGCAAATACCTTGCCCACTAAACTCTCACTCCAGCCCATCTGAGAGACTTTTAACAAAGTGGCATCTTAACACAGGGGTGGGAGTGAGTCAGGGTAATGGGGACAAGCACCCGGAAGCAGCCTTGGGGTCCTGGAGGGGGGCAGGCTTGGGGGACAGTCCCAGGCTTTACCTTCCAGTGTCTTGATGGTTGACAAGGTGAATGTCTCCTCCTTCTCAAACTCATCCCCGACCTCATCCCAGGCTGCCTCGAAGTTCACCTTCATGACCTTCTGGATGTGATCGGCTACAGTGACCTCCAGGTCCTCCAGCTGGGGAGAGAGAGGTGGGAGATAGGTACCCTGGGGCAACGCCCCAGCTGCGCACAGCTCGGCCCTGTCTGCAGCTGCTGGACTCTGGGGACACGCGGCAACTTGACATGCCCCTGGCCTCGAGGTGCTCACAGCCAAGCTCTGTGTCGGAGTGGAAAATGTCCTCCCCCAAGGACTTAGGGTGTCTTAGGGTGTCGGTGACAACCTCCCGTCGTGCCTGGGAACCTCGCTGAGGATAGGGGACTGAACCGCATGCAAGGCAATTGTCCTATCGGCTGTGCTATGAGCCGCTCTGGCTCCTTGTGAACAACTTTGTAAATGTATATCTCACAGTGCCTCAATTAAAACAGAACTTCAAACACACTACGTTCTTCACTAGCCTGAGGGGGCACTGCAGTCCCGGTGCCCCACCTGGCGCTACTTACCACATACTCGTCCTCATAGCCCTCCTCGTCCGTCTCCCCTGTGGTGGGGTCGCAGTCCTTGACCGTGAACTTCATCACGCAGCTGAACGTGCAGGCCACTGCGGGCAAGAAACGCTTGGTGGTGAAAATGCCCTGGCCACTCAGGAACAGGCTCCTGCCAAGGGTGGGAGCCACAGCCGCCGGCTGCCTGCACCCTGACCCCCCAGATCCGGCTAGATGGCATCCCCTTGCAGATGGTCGGGCTTCAAGGTGCCCCCTTGGGGTGAAGAGAGGCAGAGGGGGGGCAGGCTGGGCGGGAAACTGGGCACACTGGTGGTGGGACTGGTGCTGGAACACTGAGCGCCTGAAGCGACTGTCTTCTGAACAACTCCGTGAGTCACGATTTTGGGGGGGCCAGTCGGGAGGAACCACACCTGGCTCTGTGTTCAGGAATCACTCCTGGCGGTGCATGGGGGACCATCTGGGGTGCCAGGGATCGAATTTGGGTTGGCTGAATGCAAGGTACTATCTCTCTAGCCCCAAATCATAGTTGGTTTTTTTTTTTTTTTGCTTTTTGGGTCACACCTGGCGATGCACAGGGGTTACTCCTGGCTCTGTACTCAAGAATTACCCTTGGCAGTGCTCAGGGGACCATATGGGATGCTGGGAATCGAACCCGGGTTGGCCGAGTGCAAGGTAAAAGCCCTACCCGCTGTGCTATTGCTCCAGCCCAAATCATAGCTGTTTTATAAACAGTTTCAGACCAAAAAAGAGAGAAGCAGCAGAACTGCAGGCCTGGGCGGGCAGCCCCACTGGCTATGGCTGGAGGAGCAGCAGCTGCTTCCAGGGCGAGCGGACTCGGCATTTCTAGTCTGTGGTGACCCCGTGCCCTTCCCTGGCGCCCTGGGGAGCCCTGCACGGTGGGGCAGGCTGGCTGCTCCTTCCCCTACAGGGGGGCCTCAGGCCTACTGACCCCCGCCAAAGATCCTCTAGGAGGATGAAATGAGATGGCAGTAAAAGCAATGGAGACTTCCCCATTACTTCTGGACGTTCTCAGGGCAGAAATCAAGAGCTGAAACTGGAAGAAATAGGGCCAGAGCCATAGGACAACGGGGAGGGCGTCTGCCTTGCAGACTGCCGACCTGAGTTTGATCCCTGGCATCACCTATGGTGCTGCAGGTACTGCCAGGAGTGATTCCTGAGTGCAGAGACAGGAGTAAGCCCTGAGCATCACTGGGTGTGCCCCAAAAACAAAAGGAAAAAGGGGCTGGAGTGATAGCACAGCAGGTAGGGCGTTTGCCTTGCATGTGGCTGACCCAGGTTCAATTCGCAGCATCCCATATGGTCCGCTGAGCACCGCCAGGGATAATTCCTGAGTGCAGAGCCAGGAGTGACCCCTGTACATTGCCAGGTGTGACCCAAAAAAAAAAAAAGGAAAAAAAGAAACCGGAAGAAGACACGCCGCTGGCCCACAAACTGCCCACTGCCCCAGAGGCTCCTGCGAGGGGGGGTGGCCATGGAGAGGGGCTCACCAGTCGTGGGGTCTTCCTTGGGCAGCGCTACGAGCGTGTAGCAGGTCCCGGGCTGGTTGTAGGGGAGGCTGCGGGCAGGCACGTGGCAGAGGACCTCGTAGGCCTCGGTCGGCTCCATCTGGACCGTGACGTTCTCCAGCGTCTGGTCGTTGAGTGTGTTCATGCAGTCAAACTGGAAGGGGCAGGAGAGGGGCACTCAGAGCTCACCCACTGATGCAGTCCCCGCCTCCACCCTGACATTCAGGACTTGGAGGGGGTCAAGGGTTGAGGGCCAAGGGTACGTGTGCCAGGCCTGCAGCAGCAGCTCCCAATGTGCCGTGTAGGTCCGGGGCCCTGAGAGGAGGGGACACCAGGCCTGGGACCGCCGTCCCGTGCCCCCCGCTCACCTGAAACACCATGTGTCCGGTGAAGGTGTGCTTGGTGCAGCGGATGACGTACTCCGTCTCTGACTCGGTGAGGGCCACTGGCTCGGGCGAGGACTTGAAGAGGGGCCCCAGACCCTGGAACTCGGGCACGGCAGCCAACTGCTCTGAAACCCACAGGCCACACGTTCCCTCCGTTTCTCGGTGCACACCCACCCCAGGATGGTTTCTGCTTAGCGTTCATGCCCGAGGCTCAAGGTCTGTGGCTTTCTGAACACGCGCAGCATGCCCTCCCATGAATATGGTCCTCCCCGGGGTCAGGAGATCCCAGTGTCCTGGCTAGGCTCACCCCTGTGCTCAGGGATCACGCCTGGTAGAATATGGGGGATGGGAGGGCGTATGTGATACCTGGAATTGAACTGGGGTCAACTGTGTGCAAGGCAAGCACCGCCTGCTCCCCTGTGCTGACTCTCTGGCCCCGATACCTTCAAAACCTCTAAGCCAGGGGCCAGAGTGATAGGACGTTTGCCTTGCACGTGGCCGACCCCTGTTCTATTCCCAGAACCCCATAGGGTCCCTGAAGCCCACCAGGAGTGACCTTGAGCTCAAAGCCAAGAGTAAACTCTGAGCACTGCCAGGAATGACCCAAAAGCAAAAAACAAAAAGAACAAAACTTTAAACCGGGGTCACATAAACATTTCTTGGGTGAAGGGGCCACAAGTGGAAAGATTAAGATTATGCCCGTCTCTAGAGCCATGGGTGTCAGCCACTGGTCATCAGACCACTGCAAGGCCAGTGCCCACTGGCCAGTGCCCTGAAAATCACTGGGCAGAGAATTCTCAGAAAAAGTGCCAGTAAGTGTCAGTTCCAACCCTTAACTCCCACCCCACCCCAACCCGGGGAGTCTACTACTTACCCTGGAAGATCTCCTGCCGGGTGGCCGCCACCTTCTCGGGCTGCTTGGCTGCTGTGATGGGGGTGGTCTCTGCAGAGGTGAGGACACATGGTGATCCCAGGGAAGGGGCAGTGGAGTGGACACGGCACAGTCACTAGGACGGCCTCACACGCCCTCCAGTGTGTAGCACAACACGTGAGAGTGAGGAGTGTATGTGCGGGAATAGGCATGCACGCTGACGCCCGTTTCCTAGAGCCAGAGGCAGGAAGCTCCACGCCCTCCTCCCTTGGATCCAGGACCCGCAGCAGCTGCTCACCTGTTCTCTGTTCTGCCAGGGGCGCGGTGGCCAGGGGCACAGACTTGAGGTCGAATGGTTTTTCTGATGGTTCGAGGGTGTACTGCTGCAAAGCCCTCTCCAAACCAGGGATGGACACGGTCAGACCTGGAGGCCGGGTGGGGGGCGTCACTGTCTGAAACCAAACCTGGGGCAGACGGCTGAGAAGACCAGGCCACCCTCCGAGCTGTTTTCTCACTGATGCCCTCCTTCCTGGGATGGGTGTGGGGTGGAAAGGGCCAGGCAGGGACACTTGCAAACAAAGGGCCTAGTGCTATAAGGATGTAAATTTATTATATGGATCTTTGGTTTTATAATTGCTTCATGGGGGGCCAGAGTGATAGTACAGCGGGTCGGGCATGTGCCTTGCACGTGACTGAGCCAGGTTGGATCCCTGGCATCCTATATGTTTCCTGAATGCAGAGCCAGGAGAAACCCCTGGGCATTGCTGGGTGTCACCCGAAAAGCAAAAAAAAAACAAAGACAATAACAACAACAACAAAAACCAAAAAACCAAAAACCCAAAGATTTATAGCACATACTTTTTGTTTTCCTTTTTTTTGCTTTTTGGGACACACCCGGCGATGCACAGGGGTTACTCATGGTTCAGGCACTCAGGAATCACTCCTGGCGGTGCTTAGGGGACCATATGGGACGCTGGGAATTGAACCTGGGTCGGCTGCGTGGAAGGCAAACGCCCTACCTGCTGTGCTTTGCTCCAGCCCCTAGCACGTACTTTAAAGAGATGGTTTTTTTCCTTGTGGATGGAAAGTTTTAAAAGATGCCCACCCTGGGGACTGGAGCCACAGCGGGCAGGGCGTTTTCCTTGCATGTGGCCGACCCGGGTTCGATTCCCAGCATCCCATATGGTCCCCCGAGCACGGCCAGGAGTAATTCCTGAATGCAGAGCCAGGAGTAATCCCTGAGCATCACCAGGTGTGGCCCAAAAAGCAAAAGATGCCCACCCTGTCTGCACTTGGATAAACTTCACTGTCCCAAGCTAAGAAAACGCTGATTTAAGGCTGAGCAATAGTACAGCGGGCAGGGTGTTTGTTTGCCTTGAATGTTGGCAGACCGGATTTGATTCTCAGCATCACATGTGGTCTCCTGAGCATTACCAGGATAATTCCTGAGCAAAGAACTAGGAGTCAGCCCCTAAGCACCGCCAGGTGTGGTCCAAAAATCAAAAAAAGAAAATGCCGATTTTAGGAAACTGCCTGTGGCCGTACTGATATGATGCCATCGTGTGTGTGTGTGTGTGTGTGTGTGTGTGTGTGTGTATGAGCCCCATACTGCTTGAGCATGAAGCAAGTCATGATGAGGTTACAGTGATGCCCTTTAAAAACTGGCTCTGAGACCCCTGAGCTTTGTCTATGGTTTCAGGGGCTTGCCTAGCCAAGACCCACTGACCTGATCAGCCGACATAATAAAGACCTTCTTGATCACCTGCCACTGACTGCATTGCCTTGGGGTGCTTGATTAAGTGAACGCCTGTTACCACAGTGATTGGATGCAGAGGGCCGGGGCACTCACCGTTCAGAATGTAGCCTGCGTTGAGGGCCTTCTGCTTCTGCTCCAGAACACTCAGATAGAAGGTGGCGCGGTCCCTGACTTCATTGTCATCGTCCATCACGCACCTGCGGCCAGGACATTAGAACCTTCCTGACTGGCGGCCCTGGCAGAGGGGGTGGGAGGGCCCTCCAGGTTCTGGTGAGGCTTCAAGTCTCCCAGAGCTCTGAGAGCTCCATCCCCAGAAGCAGCTCCGGGGTCACAGCAGAGTCGGGCCTCTAAGACTAAGAAGGAAGCAGCTCCATTCCTATCCTGGGACCCTCTTCCTGAAGCCCCCTGGGGGGAAACTCTCCAGGCTCCAACTTCATATGTGAACATTATCAGAACACATGGGGAAGGCGCTTGCCTTGCACAAACGAATAAAAAAAAAATCTTCGAGCACTGCCAGGAGCAATTTCTGAGTGCAGAGGCCGGAGTAACACCTGATCATTGCTGGGGGTAGCCCAAAAACAATGACAAAAGAACCCCCCCCCAAAAAAAAAGGTAAGTAGCAGAATAGATGATAGTGATGGGGACTGAAGAGAGAGAGAGGACAGGGGTAAGGCACTAGCCTTGCACAAAACTGACCTGCACTTGTTCCCCAGCACCCCATGTGGTTGCCCAAGCACCACCAGGAGTTACTTCTGAGCGCTGTGGGGCTAGAAAAATGATACAGCGGGGAAGAGGCACACCTGATTCCTTGAGCACAGCAGGAGTGATCCCTGAGCACAAAGCCAGGAGGAGCACCACAGGGTGTGGCCCAAAATAAAAAGAATAAAGCAATAAGGAAGGAAGGAAGGAAGGAAGGAAGGAAGGAAGGAAAGAAGGAAGGAAGGAAGGAAGGAAGGAAGGAAGAAGGGAAGGAAGGAAGGAAGGAGAAAAAGAAAGAAAGAGAAAAAGAGAAAGAAAGGAAGAAGCCCCAGACACAAACAGCCACCCACGGGATGACTATACTAACATGCAGTGTCCACAGATCACTGTCTGACGTAGATCAGTGGCTGACGAGGGGTGGGGGTGGAGGCTGGGGTGGGAAGTAGCAGCTAAAGGGTGTGAGTCTTCTTTCCATTTGATAAAAATATTTTTCTTTTGGGGCTGGAGCAATAGCACAGCGGTAGGGCGTCTGCCTTGCATGCAGCCAACCCTGGTTCGATTCCCAGCATCCCAGAGGGTCCCCTGAGCACTGCCAGGGATAATTCCTGAGTGCAGAGCCAGGAGTAACCCCTGTGCATGGCCAGGCAGACACAGTGTGTGACTCAAAAAGCAAAAAAAAAAAAAACAAAAAAAAACACCCATACTTTTCTTTTTTTGTTTTTGTTTTTGGGCCACACCCAATGATGCTCAGGGGCTACTCCTGGCTCTGCGCTCAGGAATCACAGTGGTGCTCAGGGGACCATATGGGATGCCGGGGACTGAAGTACAAGGCAAGTACCCTACCTACTGTACCATCACTCTGGTCCAGGTAAAAATGCTTTCAGTGTATATACGGTGGGTGCTGTATAGCTGTGGGTATATGAAAGACCACCACACTCAATTTCTTTTTTTTGGGGGGGCCACACCCAGTGGTGTTCAGGGGTTAGTCCTGGCACTGCACTCAGGAATACTCCTGGCAGTGCATGGGGGAGTATCTGGGATGCCAGGGATTGAATCTGGGTTGGCGGTATGCAAGGCAAATGCCCTCCCCACTGTGCTGTCACTCAGGCTCCTATGCTCTCTCTGTATTTTTTTTCTTTTTTGGGGTCACACCCGGCGATGCACAGGGGTTACTCCTGGCTCTGCACTCAGGAATCACCCCTGGCGGTGCTCAGGGGACCATATGGGATGCTGGGGATCGAACCCGGGTTGGCCGCGTGCAAGGCAAACGTCCTCCCCACTGTGCTACTGCTCCAGTCCCGCTCTATATTTTAAATGGGTGAACGATATGGCTCATTACCTGTCCCAATCAAGCTGGGTTGGGGCTGGAGAGATAGCACAGCAGGTAGGGTGTTTGCCTTGCACGCGTCCGACCTGGGTTCGATTCCCAGCATCCCATATGGTCCCCTGAGCACCGCCAGGAATAATTCCTGAGTGCAGAGCCAGGAGGAACCTCTGTGCATTGCCAGGGGACCCAAAAAGCAATCAAGCCGGGTTGTGTTGTCTGTGTGAGTTGCGGTCCCAAGGATCAATCAAGCCCGGGGTCCCAGCCATGCAAGGTAAGTGCACTACTGCAGAACTCTACACCGGCAATCACGCTGTTTCTAAGGGAAGAAAACTCAGGAGGCTGTGCAAACACAGAGCTGCCAGGCGCAAATGGCTGGAGCATGGGCATCTGAATCCTGGCACAGGACAGTGCCCAGAACCACTGGCACTGAGCAGCACCTGGGCCTGAGCACCGGACACTCGGCCCTGGCTGCTACTGTGGAAGTGAACCCTGGGCAATGCTCAGCACTGCTCAGACGTCAACCCCAGGAACATAAAAGGAAGGAAAGAGTGATGAGGAATAGGAAGGAAGGAGGGGAAGAAAGAAGGAGGGGAGAGGTTGGAGAGATAGAACAGTGGGGAGATCTCTTGCCTTGCACATGGCCAGCCCGGGTTCGAGTCCTGGTACCCCTGCATGGTCCCTGAACACTGTGAGGAGTGATCCAAGTGCAGAGCCGGGGTAAAGAAAGGGTGTGGGGGCTGGAGCAATAGCACAGCGGGTAGAGCGTTTGCCTTGCACGCGACAGACCCGGGTTCAATTCCCAGCATCCCATATGGTCCCCTGAGCGCAGAGCCAGGAGTAACCCCTGTGCATCGCCGTGTGACCCAAAAAGCAAAAAAAAAAAAAAATTTGTAAGTCTACAACTGTACCTCATGGTGTTTCACTAATAAAAATTAAAAAAAAAAAAACTTTAAAAAAAGGGGTGTGGCCAGAAAGTAAAAAAAGGGGAATGAGGGATGGAGAGGAAAAGAGGAAGAAGGGAAAAAGGGAGGGAGAGAAGTAGGAAGGGAGGGAGGGAGGGAGAAAAGGAGGGAGGAAGGGAGAGAGGAAAAGGAGGAGAGAAGGCTCGCTCAACAACAGCAACATTGGGGGCTGGAGCAACAGTACAGCCGAAAGGGCATTTGTCTTACACACAGTTGACCTGGGTTCGAATTCCCAGCCCCGCATACGGTCCCTTCAAGCACCGCCAGGAGTAATTCCTGAGTGCAGAGCCAGGAGTAACCCGAGCATTGTCAGGGGAGACCCCCGCAAAAAAAAAGGTGACAGGCTTCCCTTACGCGTTACGTATTTCTATATGATCCACAAGGATGTCTCTTCCCCACCTTATTACAAAGGACAGAGGACAGTGAGTGCTGTCCCTGAGCGGCCGCTGGCTACACTCACCTCTTCAGCAGCACCAAGATGCTGGGGAGCATCTCCTCATTCTGGGCTCCAAACTTGGCCAGGGCGCTCACAGCACCTGTTGGGGAAACGAGCGGCGTTCACCCGGTGGGCCGCTGGCGGGGAGACGCAGGCCCCGGCCCGACTGGGCTGGACTCGGTCGGGGCTCAGACGCACCTGCCCGGACCTCCTCGTGCTCCAGGACCACCCGGTTGTAGATGAAGCGGATGTACTTGGAGGGGTTGTTGGTCTTGGGCCCCTCCTGGCCCAGCAGGTGCAGGATGCGGGTGGCCAGCACGGTGAACTCGCAGTCCTCGATGAACTCGCACAGGTGCGACAGCCCCGTCTCCTTGCTCTCTGCGTTCTCCTCGATGATGCTGATGATGCAGTCCACAATGGCCCGCTTGTACTCAAAGCCGCCCTGGCGGGGAGTGCGAGGATGAGCCAGGAGGCAGCGAGGGCGCAAGGTACCCCCCCCAGTGCACGGAACACACACACACACACACACACACATACACACTCACACACACAGACAGGAGTGCACAGGGCACCCCCGGCACATGGCACACACACACACACACACACACACACACACACAGAGGAGGGTGCAGGGCAGGAGTGCACAGGGAACCCCTGGCACATGGAACACACACACACACACACACACACACACACACACACACACACACACACAGAGGAGGGCGCAGGGCAGCCCCCAGCACACGGAACACACACACACAGGCCTGGCTCCCAGACACACACACACACACACACACACACACACACACACAGAGCGAGGGCGCAGGGCAGCCCCCAGCACACAGAACACACACACACACAGGCCTGGCTCCCCAGACACACACACGCACACACACACACAGAGAGCGAGGGCGCAGAGCAACCCCCAGCACACGGAACACACACACACACACACACACACACACACACACACACACACACACAGAGCGAGGGCGCAGGGCAGCCCCCAGCACACGGAACACACACACACACAGGCCTGGCTCCCCAGACACACACACGCACACAGAGAGCGAGGGCGCAGGGCAGCCCCCAGCACACGGAACACACACACACACACACACACACACAGAGCGAGGGCGCAGGGCAGCCCCCAGCACACGGAACACACACACACACACACGCACGCACACACACACACAGAGAGCGAGGGCGCAGGGCAGCCCCCAGCACACGGAACACACACACACACACACACACACACACACACACATACACACTCACACACACAGACAGGAGTGCACAGGGCACCCCCGGCACATGGAACACACACACACACACACACACACACACACACACAGAGGAGGGTGCAGGGCAGGAGTGCACAGGGAACCCCTGGCACATGGAACACACACACACACACACACACACACACACACACACACACACAGAGGAGGGCGCAGGGCAGCCCCCAGCACACGGAACACACACACACAGGCCTGGCTCCCAGACACACACACACACACACACACACACACACACACAGAGCGAGGGCGCAGGGCAGCCCCCAGCACACGGAACACACACACACACAGGCCTGGCTCCCCAGACACACACACGCACACAGAGAGCGAGGGCGCAGGGCAGCCCCCAGCACACGGAACACACACACACACACACACACACACACACACACACACACAGAGCGAGGGCGCAGGGCAGCCCCCAGCACACGGAACACACACACACACACACGCACACACACACACAGAGAGCGAGGGCGCAGGGCAGCCCCCAGCACACGGAACACACACACACACACACACACACACACACACACACACAGAGCGAGGGCGCAGGGCAGCCCCCAGCACACGGAACACACACACACACAGGCCTGGCTCCCCAGACACACACACACACACACACACACACACACACACACACACACACAGAGCGAGGGCGCAGGGCAGCCCCCAGCACACGGAACACACACACACAGGCCTGGCTCCCCAGCCCCACTGCCTTCCTGGGGGAAATGCAGGGGTCAAAGAGCAGACATTTTCCTAGAAGCACTTGGGTCTTGACTGCTCTCCCCAGCTCTGCAGTCAAAGACAGACGGGGTGGCCCAGATGCTGTGGACAAGAGTGATGGGGTCCCCCAGAAAATGAAAGCTTGGGGGCCAGAGCGATAGCACAGTGGGTAGGGCGTTTCCCTTGCACATGGATGACCCGGGTTCGATCCCTGAAATCCCATATGCTGCCCCGAGCACCATCAGGAGTAATTCCTGAGTGCAGAAACAGGAGCAACCCCTGAGCATCGCCAGGTATGACCCAAAAATAAAAATAAATAAAAGTAGAAAACACCAGATTACCTGCTTAAGACAAGCAAAGTTAGTGAATTTATAGCACGTGTGTATTTCACAAAAAAAAAAAAAAGCAGAATTGGAGGTTCCTGGATGCCATCTCTGCCCCGAATTTCAACCTCAGATGGATGGAGGGGACCACTGCCATGGTACCACAGGCCAGGTATGCTGGATGACACCCGGTGATCTCCCATCGTGAGCAGACTGCGTGGAGTGTCGCACCCATGGACAGTACCCAGCCATTAGAGACAGAAGCACAGGCTGGGCCGGTGTGACATCCTGGGCTCAATCTCTAGCTCCATCAACAATGAAAACACAAGCTTCGAAAGAGGGAAATTCCCCTGACAACTTTTTCAAGAGAAACTTGAATCTGGGGGCTGCTGTTTTCCCGTTTTTTACATAATGGTAAGCTAAAAGATGTAAAAAGTCAACCTCATTTGTGGTCAAATCCCTTTTTATGTTTGTCTTGGGACCACACCTGGCAATGCTCAGGGGTTACTCCTGGCTCTGCACATCAGGGATCATTCCTGGTGGTACTTGGGGGACCATATGGGATGCTGGGGATTAAACCTGGGCGGCCGAGTGCAAGGCAAGCGCCCTCCCCGCTGTGGTCACTCTGGCCCTGGCCAATCCGTGTTGAAGTTTCTAGCTATGGTCTCGAGCTCCCTTTCCCTTCTCCGCCTCTGGGGTCACTTGGAAAGAGACTGGGAGCTTCTGCTCTGAAATCGGGGGGCCACCTGCACATTCTACCCGGTCGGGGCCCCAAGGCAGGTGCTTAACTCTGGACTATTTCTCTCTGGGTTCAACTCTGCTTGTTACAGAAGCAAAATTATGTCTCCTGACAAGTTCTGTTCGGATGACCCCGGAATGATGTGTACCACATAGTGAATCCAAAGTGCTGGCCCCCAGCTGACGACCCCCAAACCAACCAGCACCTCCTCCCTTCTACTGTTTGTGGGGGCTCCAAAGCACCCACACAGAAGCCAGCGTGATTACACAATGGGGAGGGCGTTTGCCTTGCATGTGGCCAGCCTAGGTTACCTCCCCAGCTTCCCACAAGGTCCCCTGAGCTGTATCAGGAGTAACTTTGCAGTGTAGAATCAGGAGTAAGCCCTGAGCATTGCCGATGTGACCCGAAAGCCAAAACCAAAACAGAAGCCCCCCACAGACACCCAGACAATGGGTCCCCTACTGCTGGGGACCAAAGCTACCCCACAGTGACTTTGCTCTCGTACTTCCAAATCAATTTTGTTGCAACCTCCAAGACAGGGGGCATAAGTGAGTCAGTGACCCATGCCAGGAACAAAAATTGAACCCGTGATTCACTACTAGTATCGGGTTCAAGAGAAACCGGCTCCGGTGCTCCAGAAATGGCACAGACGCGTCTCTGACCTGCCCGTGGTTTGACACCTGTGGTCTGGCAGTGGTCTGTGGCCCAGAGACTAAAAACCACAGCTGCTCATCAGCCTCTGCCCAGACGCCTTGGCACCTGCCATGCCCTGAAAGCCAGTGTGAGTCGCTACTGACTATCACTGCGACTCGAGAAACCGCTCATGTTCACTGTCCAGAGGGCAGTTTCCCGGGGCCTGGGCGTCAGAAAATCCACCTGGTTAACAGGCTGCCTGGGTTCGCCCGGGAAGAGGCGCCTCTGGAACCGGCCCGTCTCCCCCTGCACCCGGAGACGGGGACACCCCGAGCGCCCCCCCTCCCTCACCTCTTCCCGCAGCATGGTGAACAGGAAGTTCATGAGCACGGCGTGTTTGCGGGGGTACTTCTGGCACAGGGCGCTGATGGCCTGGACAACCACCACCTACAACAGACAGACACACGGACACGCGTGAGCACCAGCCCTGCCCCCCACCCTGGTGGTGCTGGCAGGAGGCAGGAGGCACCCACCTATCTCCACAGCCCCAGGTCCACCTGGGTCTCCCTCAGGTCTGGTGGTGAAGGGACCCCATTGCCAGGCACCCCGTCCTGAAGCTCCTCGACTCAATGTGACCCCAACCCCCATCGTCACTCGCCTCTGCCTCTTCCGAGACTCCCCCGGCCCCCAATCATCCAACCCCACGCCCCACCAAGTGCCCCGCCAAGCCATTCTCTCCTCCCGCTGCCCCCACCCACTGTGCCCGCCTAGCACTTCGAGGCTCTGCCCAGTGGGCCCAGCGGAGCCTCCCCACGGCTCCAAGTTGGCCTGGAGTTGCATGTTTTAAATTCTGGCCCACACCTGGTGGGGCTCAGTGCTGACTCCTGGCGGGGCTCAGAGGACCCTTTGGGTGCCAGGGAGTGAAGCCTCGCCACCTCCCTGCCCGGCCGGGTCCCGGGGTACCTTGAACTCGTCGGAGATCTCGGACATGAAGGAGGAGATCTGCTTCATGAGGCGGTCGATACTACTCTCGCTGCCCGTCTTGAGGAGCGTGGTGATGGCCAGCGTGGCTATGCTGCGGTTCGAGTCCGTGACCAGGTTCTCCAGGTCCAGGTTGCAGGCCGTCACAGCGGACGGGTGCTTCATGGCCACCTGGGTGGGGAGGACACAGCCCGAGAGATAGAAAGGACTCCGCCAGGGGCCTGAGACAACACAGCGGGGCCGCCGTTTGCCCTGCACACGGCTGACCCTGGTCCCATCCCTGGTACCCCACGGGGTCCCCTGAGTATCCCCAGGAGCAATCACTGAGCACAGAGCCAGGGGTCAGCCCTGGGCACTGCCAGGAGTGGCCCTCACGAAAAAAGGACATCTGCCAGGTCACCAAGTGGGCTCGGCCTGGTCTGAGGGGTCAATCTTAACCCCGCCCTCCTCCCCGTGTGGTGGAACCCTTCCCATCTTGGGGCAGGGCCAGCTGCCCTCCCACCCCCGGGCCCCTCACCTTATTGAGGGTGCGGACGGCAGCATAGCGGAGGGCAGCCTTGGGGGAGCTGCAGAAGAGCTGGAGCACTGTGGGGAGACGGGCCAGGCTGTCACTGCTGTCCCGCACCCCAACACAAACGGCCCATCCATCACCATCAGAGACGGAGGCTGCTGGTACCACAGCAGGCTCCTGCACCCCGACTCTCCTGCCGGGCCCACGGCGCTCCCCGGGGCCTGCCTTTCCCCTTGCACCCCATCCTCCCCGCCCCGCTTCCAAACACATCAGCATCCCTGGGACACTCTTCTCTGAGTCCCAAGTGCAGCCACCTCCGAACACGTCACTGCCTGCTTCCTACTGACAGAAGGGACACTGAAGCCCTTGGCCAGCGCCCGCCCAGGCCAGTCCTCGAGGACCTCAGGCCTGGCCCTGGTCCAGGCGGCGGCGTGGAGTTGAAGCTGGACTCTGCCGCGAACCAGAGCCCTAGCCCTGGTGGGGTAGGACAGACCCCAAAGCACGCCGGCTCCCCAGACAGAAGACATGCCGGAGGCCCAGCACAGGCAGGCAGAGGGCAGGGGGTCACCTGACACGGCCGGGGCCAGCTCCTTGGCACTGCAGCCGGGCAGGTCGACGATGGCTGAGGCCGCCTCGTACACCACCATCTCGTGCTTGTTGCGCAGGCAGCTCTCGATGAAGTCAAAGAGGGGGCTGTCGCGGCTGCCAAAAAAGCGGGGTGGGGTGGGAAGACTCAGCAGCGGAGTCCGGGCTCCACCCCCCGCACTGCAGGGCCCCTGAACACTGCTGGGATGGGCCCCCAGCACAGAGCCCCCGAGCACCGCCAGGGGTGACCCGCAAATCAAACAAGCCCAGGGGTGACAGTGACGGACTAGCCAGGGCAGGGCGGACAAGGCCCCCTACCTGCCGTCCTCCTCCTCCAGCTGCTTGCTGGCCACGCGGATCATCATGCAGTAGGCGAAGGGCGACTTGAGGCCATGCCGGGTGAACTTGCTGATCATCTTGCTCACGGCCAGCCGGTCGTTCTTTCGCACGTGGTACAGGAGGCCCAGCGCATGGTACTGGGGACAGAGAGGGCAGCGGGGCCGGCACATGAGCCAGGCCCAGGGGCTGCGCTGACCCCTCTGACATGATGCTTGAGGGCCTGTGGTTCCCAATCCCACCCCAGTCCCGGTACCAGGGGGACAGCTGTGGAAGGGACAACGGGCTCCAGAGACCCAAGAATGGGAAGAGACATGGGGTCCCTGAACGAGGAAGGCGGGTGGCATCACGCACGGGGGCTTGACAAGAGACCACCCAGCGTTAAGGCCTATGACCCGGAAGGAGATCTCAGCCCCTGACTTGTGTGTGCAAGGACTCAGGGCTGGTGCTAGCCAGGGCAGGGAGGTCAGGAACACTCTTATTCCCTGTCTTCTCCGTGTCCCTCCGGGTGGGCACTGCAGGACTGAGGCTGGCTGTGCAGGGAGGGCCTGGGCAGGAACATGTTCGAAGGGGCAGCGAACACCCCTTGGCCATGGCTTTAGCCCGCGGACAGATGCACTCCCTAGGCAGCCCTGGGATGCAGAAACGTCACCCCCTTCTATGGAGGCTGGGAGCAGGCCCAAAGGGCGGGAGCATGAACTTGGCATGTGGGATACCCAGACTCCAGCCTGGCAGGGCATGACACGCCCCCAAGGACAGCCTGAAGCAACCTCCCCACCGCGCTGCCATCCTTATTTCCTATGACGGGGGGTCCGCTGTCTTGTGGCGCCCGGGAGACACCAGCACGACAGGCTGGGAGCACGTGGTGCCTGAGATCGAACCCAGGGTCTGACCCCGGCCGGGCCTGGGCCCCACCACTGAGCGTCGAGCCCTGATCTGCCGCCTCACGGACAAAGGGAACGGAGCCTCCGAGCTTGCAAACACACTCGGGAGGGGCTGACCGGGAAGGGCCCCGCCCCCGCCATTTCTACCCACAGACCCTAAAATGGGCTCAGCTGGTGGTCGGCATGCTGAAGTGCTCCATGCCACGACGGGGTGGTCTCGACCCTCGGCCTCCTGAGTTTCCGCGCCTCATTTCCCCTCCGACGCCCCCCTCTCCCCAGATCACCCTCACCCTCCAGCAACCGCGGGATTCAGCCTGTTCCGGCTGGGGTTGCCCCAGGTCCACGTCCCCACCGGCCAGGTCCCTGCCAGGGGCCCGGACACCCCTCACCTGCACCATGACGTTGTCACTGGAGGCCGCCTCCTGGGCCTCGTTCACCCAGCGCTTGACCACGTCGAAACTGCACTTCAGCAGGTGCTGAGGGGACATCCAGGGCAGTCAGGGGCAGGCTCCGGGTGGCTGGGTCCCAGATAGCCCACAGAGGGTCCCCACGGGGCTGCCTCCCAATTTGGTCCAGCGTGGGGCCTCCAAGGCCCACTCCTGAGCTCAGGACCTCGTCACCTGCATGCCCCTTGCCCCAGTACATTTCTTGCCAGGCTCAAACTCACCAAATCTGGGCAGACCCAGGCCCCCAACTGCCCCCGCCTGGCCCCGAGCTCCACAACTTCTAGAACCCTCCGCTGTGGGGGACGCAGGAGCCCTGTCGCTGCCCGACCAGAGTACGTGTGCAGTTTTCCCCCATCTCCTGGCCTGACTCGGCGCCCAGGACACTCACCAGGGAAGACACAAGGGCAGAGCTGGAGACACTGGGGACCTTGTCCACGATGGCCTGCTTCATGTAGCGCTCGATGGCCTGGAGCATGGTGCTCTGCAGGGACAGGTGGGGCTGTCGGGCCACTTCCCAGGCACCAGAGCAGGAAGATGATGCCACCCCTTGCCCCTGCGCCTGGCAACAACCTGAAGCACGCAGAGGGCAGGGAGAGGGGGGAGGGTGGGGGAGAGTAGCAGGGGAGCGGGCACTGGCTCAGGCACGGACTCACATCAGTGATCTGGCAGAGAGCACGCACGGCCGGGCCCCGGTAGTTGTCCTCCTTCCCCGTCATGTCCTTTGTCAGGCTGAGAGGGGGAGAAGGCACTGTGTCCAGGCAGGAGCCGGGCCTGCTGCCCGCAGCTCCCACCTCCTCTCCTCTGCAGTTCCCCTTCCCTCTCTCGTCTGCAGCTCCTGCCAACCCTGGCCCCTACCTCCTCTCCCCTGCAGCTCCTGATGCCCTTGGCCCCTACTGCTCTTCCTTGCAGCTCCTGCTGCCCACAGCCCCTCTCCCCCTCCCCTGCAGTTCCTCGTTCCCCCCACCCTGGCCCTTACCCATCTCCCCTGCAGCTCCTGTCACCTCCCAGTCCTACCGCTCCCCTGAAGCTCCCCATCCCCCTCTCCTCTACAGCTCCTGCTGTCCCCAGCCCCTACCCCTTCTCCCCTGCAGCTGCTCCTGCCCCCCAGGGCTGTGAGGGCCCATCAGGCTGAGCAGGGCAGGCCCCGCCTTCACACAGATGTTCCTGAGGCCTCCCACCATCACCCTTAGCATCAAGTCCTCCACAGCTTGTGCCGGCAAGCGGGCTGCCCCGTCCTCCTGACCTCTGGCCTCGCTCTGATGGCTCTGGGGGCTGTTCCTGATCCCAGTTCCAGCTGGGCGCCCTCTGGTTCCCTCCTCTAGCCACTCACACCTCCGGGACACGCTCTGCCCCACCCTCCTGCTATAGTGGCAGCCGCACAGAGGCCCTGGGTTCAGGGTAGAGGGCATTTGCCTCACACACAGCTGGCCCACGTTCGATCCTCGGCACCCCATATGGTCCTCCAAGCGCACCCGGAGTTATCCGTGGCTGCAGAGCCAGGAATAAGCCCTGAGCACTGCCAGGCGTGGCCCAAAAGATCAAACAAACAAAATTGAAAACAAAAAAAAATATTTTTTTAAACAAAAATAAAAAATTTAAAAAACTGGTTCCCAGAACTCCACAGGGAACTACCAGACACCTGGGAAATGGTGTGAATTTTTCTGTTTGGGGGTCACACCTGGCGATGCTCAGAGGTCCCTCCTGACGGAACTCGAGTGCGCCTAATGAGCACCGGAGATCGAGTCTAGGTCCGCTAAGTGCCAGGCAAGCACCCTACCTGCTGATCTCTCCAGCATTGTGAGCTATTTTATAAATAATATACGACAATCCCCTAAAAGTCTGATGAGAAAAAAAAGAGAGCTGAGCCCCCGGTGTGGGACAGGGGTCATTCACTACTGCCTGGAGCTGATCGCTCTGCCCGACCACGTCACAGGAACCCCCCTTAGGCCCCAGGGCTGCCTGCACACCCGCGCTCTGTCTCGTTCTCCCTGAGTTGTCTAAAGTGTGTGGAAGTTCCATGCTGGCTGGGTTAAGACAGCACAAGGTCTCTGGAGCTGGGTGGGCATTTGCCTTGCACACGGCCGACCCGGGTTCGATTCCCAGCATCCCACGTGGTCCCCCAAGCACCACCAGGAATAATTCCTGAGTGCAGAGCCAGGAGGAACCCCCAAGTAATGCCAGGCGTGATTCAAAAAATTTAAAAAGTAAATCAATAAAAAAGATGAAGAAACAAGGTGAGGGAGATGCAGGAGGCTACTAAGGAACATGCTTAGCCTGTGGCCAACCCCAGCGGGATCCCTGGTACATGGTCCTCGAGCAATGCCAAGGTGGGCCGGGTAATCTCTGGCACTGCCAGACCAGAGCAGTTCTGCATCTCAGGTTCTCGCACTGACCCACCAGCCCACACAGGCCCAGAAGGCGCGGAAGGGCCTAGGGCGCCCCTGAGCACTGTTCAGGAGTATCCCCTCAAAAAAAAAAAAGTGTCGGGTTTGTGCCTAAGCTCTAGTCAGAGAACAATTATTGGAACCTCACGGGGCAGCCCAGGGTGGGCAGCAGTGCCCCAGGATGTGTCAAGCAGGACCTCCTGGCCTAGGCCACTGAGGAGAACAGCCCCTGGGGCAGGAGGCCCAGCAGAGCGAGCCAGCGACTCACCTGCTGGTGACGATGATGACATCCTCGGCAATGGAAGCCATCTCCTTGATGGTCAGGTAGCACATCCGGCGCAGCGTGGGCTGGGAGAGAGACAGGGTGTTGGATCACGCAGGGCAGCGAGAACAGACCAGCCTCGGCAGAGGCAGCCCGAGCCCTCCGGGCCAGCCGGCGCCAGCTACTTACATCATTGGACTGAAAGAGTTTGGTCATCGCGAAGAAGGCCTCGGTGGCTTCGGTCGTTCCCAGGTGCTCCCCCTGTTTGAGTCGAGAGAGAAGTCTTGGCGTGGGCCCGACGAGCCAGGGCTCTTAACCCCTGCCAGGCGGATGCCACCAACAACAACACAGCAGAAGCCAAGGCTGAGGGGACCCACAGAGGCTTGGGCCACCCACCCCTCCCTCCGACATGCTCCCCAGCGCCACATCCCTTACCTGGTTTATGAGGTAAAGGATTTTGGTAAGGATGTGGGCACATTTCCGGGGGTTGACGGGGGTCTCATTAAAGACACGGGCCTAGAAGAAAGCAATCGAGGGTTATCGCCGTCTGGCTTAAGTTCCCTTCCGCCCACTGCCCTTAACCATATTTGAGATCTGGGCAGGCCCAGGGCAAATAAACACACTTGCTCAGACAAGCTCGTGCCTCAAAAGAGAGGTGCGTCTCTTTTCCCTTCTTTCCTCCAAAGCGTCCTGAGGTAGATCCCCACTGAATACAAATCAGTGCTGGGCTCACCTATTAACGTTCACTTAGCTAACACTTGCTAAGAGAAAGAAGAAGTCAGGAACAACATCAATGAAGGCGCGATGAGCTTTTTGTTTTGCTGTGTTTTGGGGGGGGACTCTAGCTGACTAGAGATCAAAACTCTACCAGTTTTTGATCAAACCTGGCTAGGCCATGTACAAGGCAAGCGCCCTATCCTCTGTATTATCGCCCAGAATGAACTTTTTTTTGAGTTTTGGGGCCACACCTGGCAGTTTTTAGGGGACCGTATGTGGTACCCAGATAGAACTGGGGCCGTCAGCTTGCCCGTGCCTTCCCTGCTGTACTGTCTCCCCGGCCCCAAACATGACCCTCTAGGATCAAAGTTCTCCAGTCTCTCCAGAAACAGATTTCTCCTCTACTGTGCTTTATTACCAATTTTGTTTTGTTTCACACCCAGCAGTGCTCAGGGCCTACTCGTGGCTTTGAGCTCAGGGGGTCACTCCTGGAAGGCTCGGTGGACCAGATGGGGTGCTGGGGATCAAACCCAGGTTGGCCATGTGCAAGGCAGACACCCTACTTGCTGTGCTATGGCTCTGGCCCCGTGCTTCATGGTCATTATTATCATTGTGTGCGTGTGTGGGTACTGGGAACGGAAGCCAGGGCATACAGTGCGTATACAAGGCAAGCGCCCCACCGCTCAGCTCCAGTCCCAACCACCCCGCAGCTCTGTAAACCAACTCTGAAGTGCCACCGCTGCAATGGCATTGAGGGCCATGGCAGAGGATGGAGCAAACAAGACTTGCCTCCTGGAGGACCGCACTCTTCTCCAGGTGCTGGAACGGGTTGGAGCCCCCACCTGCAGCCAAAGCACAGAGAAAAATGAGTTCCAATGGTCTGCCCCGTCAAACACAAAGGCGTCAGGAACGGAGATGGAGGCTTCCCTACAGATCTTGGGCAAGAGCGCTTCCCATTCCTGTGCAGAGGGGCTCCACGACCGCCCCACACTGCAACCCTCAAGCCCCCCCACCTCCCCAGTAGTCCCAGTACCATCCTCCTTGGACTCTTGGGGTGGGGTGGGCAGGGCATCTGTGCCTGGGTGGGGAGAATTAAAAGTATCTTTTTTTTTTCTTTTTGGGCCACACCAGTGATGCTCAGGGGGCACTCCTGGCTCCGCACTCAGGAATTACTCCTGGCGGTGCTTGGGGGACCATATGGGATGTCGGGGATACAACCTGGGTCAGCCGCGTGCAAGGCAACGCCGGACCGTAGTGCTACCGCTCGGGCCTTGAAAGTATCTTGTGCCTGGCTGGGAGCCCGGCGCCCAGGGCAGGGCTCAATGAATGACAGCCTCTGGGGCCTCTGCGGTCCACGCCCCCCAGTCCGGCCAGCGGCCACGCAGCCCGGGCGATGACCCAACAGGTGCGGCCGGGAGCTAAGAGGAGGATAACTGGTCCGGCCCCCTCCCGACAGAGGGGGAAACTGAGGCTCAGCGATGCGCCGTGACCCGTCCAAGGTCACCCAGGGAAGCCGGGCGGAGATCAGGCCGGTGGGCAGGGGGGCACGCTCGGCCGCTGGCCAGCCGTGGGGTCGCTGCCCACCAGCCCCCCGCGCTCACGCCTGGGCCTGGCTGTCGGGGCAGGACGGAGACCCCCGCCGGGGGCGTCCCGGGGCCCCGCTGCGGACCCGCCGCTGGACGCAGCGCAGGGATCGGCCCGGCCCGCCGCCCCCTTACCCGACTCCTCGTCCTTTTTGTCGAATTTCTTCAGCATGGTGGGGCGGGCGGAGGCGCAGCGCGGCGGCCGGGCGCGGGGCGGGTGCGGGGTCCAGCGGCGGGTCCGCGGCGGGCTCCTTCCGGCCGGCCACGTCGCCTGGCGCAGTGCGCAGGCGCGGCCCGCCCCCCGCGCAGGCGCACTCCACGCTTAACCCCGTCCTCGCCGCGCGGCTGCCGCGCTTAACTCTGTCCTCGCCGCGGGGCGGAGCGGAGGTCTCAGACCCGCCGCCCCCCGCTCGGTGCGGAAGAACCGGGCATTTCTGCCTCTCGGATGGGCGACGTGAGCCTCGCGGGCTGGCTGGGGAGGCGAGGCCACGGCAGGGCCGACGGTGACCGTCACCTGCTCCGCATTCTCATCCCTCGCCCCCAGCCTGGCGGTTCAGCACCCACTTCTATTTGTTTATTATTTTTTTCTTGTGCTGCTTTTATTGTCTTCCCCTCGCTGCCCTGGAGTCTGTTGGCAATAGGAGGTGCTCAGTAAATGCTCGTGAGTTTGAAATCGCGCTTCAACGCCTGCCCGCGCCCCCACGCTCCACCCTGCAACCCTGCAGGGCTCTGAGCCACGAGGAAGATGCTCAGAGGAACGTCTCGGTTGCTTTCTTACTCCTTGCGGGGGTCTTCCTACTGCGCGCTAGCGAGACCCTCTGGAAGGAACCGACCCGGGGAAGCCAAATAATCACCCGGGGGTCTTCTGACTGCGAGCCCACGCGGGACACAGCTGTCCCCGAGGCCAGGGCGCGTGCAGGCCGCGTGCCAGCCGCGTGCCACGGTGCTTCGGCTGCTGGGTTTGGCGGAGCTCTGGGGAAGGAGCCCAGGTGAGCTGAGGCTGTCGAGGGGTGGCGTTTCTGAGGCCTGAGCCTGCAGGTGAAGGCGCGGGAGGGCTTTGCGGAGGCTCTGGGGTTGCCGGGTGGAGTGGGGGGGTGGGTGTTAGTAGAGGCGTCAAAATGAAATTGACCCGCAGCCAGACATTTTCCCAGCAGCCCATCCCTTAGCTGGAAGCAGCAGCCGCAAAGAAGGCGAAGGGATCTACCACCTCCGAAGGTTGGACAGCGCCCTAAATGCCCTGGGGCGAGGGGGTGATTAAGGGAATTCCATCAGCCGCTCAGAGGACCTTATCAGGTGTGAGGATCCAACCAGGGTCGCTGCCTGACCCACAGTACTATCTTTCAACCTCTGCAGATGACTTCATAATGAAAGGGAGGAAGAGAAAATCTTGGTGCATATTCACTCATAATTGAGGTGAGATTAAAAAAAAAAAGGCTAAGAGCAGAAAAGAACCGCAGAGGGTCTGGAGGTATAGCACAGCGGGTAGGGCATTTGCCTTGCACCTGGCGGACCGGGATTGATTCCCAGCATCCCAGAAGTAACTCCTGAGTGCATGAGCCAGGAGTAACCCCAGTACATCGCCAGGTGTGACCCCCCTCCCAAGAAAAAGAACCGCAGAGATCTAGATTCTTGTGTTACTTGGAACTGGAGAGATAGCACAGCAGGTCGGGTTCACCCGGGTTTGATCCCCAACATCCCATATGGTCCCCCAGAAGTGATTCCTGAGCACAGAGCCAGGAGTAACCCCTGAGCATTTCTGGGTGTGGCCCCCAAACAAAACCAAACCGTTTAACTTGGGGGGGGGAGATATTGGGGCCACACCCAGTGATGCTGTCAGGGTATTGGCTCTGTGGGGCAGGTGGCTCCCAGGAATGCTCTGGGGACCATGTATTGCCTGGGACCAAAGTGGGAGCAGTTGCATGCAAGGCAAAGCCCCGCCGTAGCCCTCATGTACGATCTCTCTGTCCTAACAGTTTTATTTTAGGGGCTTGGGGGACCACAATGGGTGAAACTCCATGCCTGGCTCAGGGCTCTGGAGTCACTCCTGGCAGTGCTCGTGGGACTTGGTGGTACCAGCATTTGAACGGGGGGCCTCCATGAAAGGAGTGCTTGCTCTCTGATCTCTAAACATTTTGTTTATTCAGAGGGCCATACCCAGTGGTGCTCAGGGCTTACTCTTGGCTCTCTGCTCAGGGATCGTTCCTGGTGGTGCTCAGGGGTCTCAGTGTGGTATTAGGGATAGAACCCAGGTTGGTCGGGTGCAAAGGAAATGCCTTATCCCCTAGTCTATTGCTCTGGACTCTGACCCGAAACATTTTGATGTGTGTTTTGTGGCCACACCTGGCTGTAAGCTCAGAGCTTCCTCCTGACTCTGTTCAGGAATCACTCCTGGCAGGGCTTGGGGGACCATATGTGGTGCTAGGGATTGAGCTCGGGTTAGCTATTTGTAAAGCAAGTGCCCTACCCTCTGTACTATCTCTCCAATTCCCATTTTAGATTTAAAAAAAAAATAGTCACATCATACCAGGAGGTTTCAAACTAAAAGTATATTATATAGACATTACCTGGCACAGGATTTAACCTCAGATTTGTAGTTTCATCAACATTAGTCTCATTTTTTCTCAAAAACTGGTGTTTCTCTCTCTCTCTCTCTCTCTCTCTATATATATATATATGTATATATATATGCATTTTTGTTTTTTGCTTTTTGGGTCACACCTGATGATGCTTAGGGGTTATTCCTAGTTCTGCCCTCAGGAATCACTCCTGGTGGTGCTCAGGGGACCATATGGGGTGCTGGGAATTGAACCAGGTCGACTATGTGCAAAGCAAACACCCTACCTGATGAACTATAGCTCCAGCCCTGGAGCGATATTTTTAAAGGGTCCTCGATTGTGATCCATTTTATATAGTCAAACCAATGATTAGTTGTATTTAATTATATTTGGATATATTTTAAATGTAACTTTAAAATATAAATATATGAGTTGCAAGGGACTCGACTGCAAGTTTAACTAAAGATCATAGAAATTCACATTTTTATAAGGATGAAGCTGTCAAACCAGAAAAAAAATCAAAAAATCCTTTCTTTGGGAGCTGATAGTACAGCAGATAGGGTTTTGGCCTTGCAAGCACATGGCCCATCTGGGTTTGATTCCTGGTATCCCATATGATCCCCCAAGCACCACCAGGAGTAATTTCTGAGAGCAGAGCCAGGAGTAACCTCTGAGTACCCAAAGAGTTAAAAAAAATCTTTTCTTTGTCTCTTCCACTTTCATTCCAAGAGATGTCAAATGATAGATGTTCACTTAGAAAGTCATCCTTAGGGATTTCAGAGGAGTAAGAACCAAAGAACATAATGAACAAAATTAAAGCAAATGCACATTATTGTGCATTATTATTATTCTTTTGGGGCTGGAGTGATAGCACAGTGGGTAGGGCCTGTGCTTTGCACGCAGCCGCCCTGGCCGACCTGAGTTCGATTCCTCTGCCCCTCTCGGAGAGCCCAGCAAGCTATTGAGAGTATCACGCCCACACGGCAAAGCCTGGCAGGCTCCCCATGACGTATTCGATATGCCAAACAGTAACAACAAGTCTCATGATGGAGACGTTACTGGGCCCGCTTGAGCAAATTGATGAACAATGGGAGGACAGGGCTACAGATTATTATTTTAAGCTACCGAAATAATGTGGCTACAACTGAAAACTGCTTACTTCTGCAAGCTGTTAAAAACTGACCATTAATATTATTTTCTTGGTCTTTTTGGGTCACACCTAGTGATACTCAGGGGGTTACTCCTGGCTCTGTACTCAGGAATTACTCCTGGCGGTGCTCGGATAACCATATGAGATGCCTGGGATTGAACTTGGTTCAGCTCTGTGCAAGGCAAACACCCTACCTGCTATACTATCACTCCGGCAACCCCCCCTAAAGAAAAGCTGACCATTCTGAAAACAAATTTATATTTATTGTAAGACACACTTGGAAAATATTACAGTACTATAATAAATTGAAATTGAATGTGGGTTCTGTCTTCATTAGTAACCAAAATTCTTCAGTCAATTTTCTGCCTGTCTGCATTTCTGTGCAAGCATGGTTACATTAAAAAAATGATAATAAATAAAACTATGAAAAAAAAAGTAAGGTTGGAGTTCATGCCCAATTCAATCAGCTAATCAGTGGCTGAATAAATAGCAGTACTCCTATATTTAAAAAAAAAAGAATCATTTACAAGTCTCTGTGTAGATCTAAGTGCCAATTATTAGGTAGATGCCAAGGAGTATGAATTATGATTCCAGTCATAAAATATGTCTTATTTTTGTATAATAATGTTCTGTTTTGTAAAAACCACAAAATTGTCTTACAAAGGACCTTACCATTCAGCATCCCTAATACTATCCTTACTAGTCAAGATGTTGCCCATATTCTATATTTTGATCAATCTACCAGGTACACAGTGACATCTCATTGTTGCTTTAATTTGCATTCATCTTATAATAAATGATGTGAAATGTCTTTTTATATAAAAAATGATAATAAAGGGGCCGGAGCAATAGCACAGCGGGTAGGGCGTTTGCCTTGCACGCAGCCAACCCGGGTTTGATTCCCAGCATCCCATATGGTCCCCTGAGCACCGCCAGGAGTAACCCCTGTGCATTGCCAGGTGTGACCCAAAAAGCAAAAAAATAAAAATAAAAAAAGATAATAAGGGGCTGGAGAGATAGCACAGCAGGTAGGGCGTTTGTCTTGCACGCGGCCAACCTGAGTTCAATTCCCAGCATCCCATATGGTCCCCCAAGCACCACCAGGAGTAATTCCTGAGTGCAGAGCCAGGAGTAACCCCTGAGCATCTCCGGATGTGACCCAAAAAGCAAAAAAAAACATAATAATAAAACCTTGAGAAGTCAGTTTACTCCACAATTAAAAAAAAAAAAGCTACTCTTAAAAAAAAAAAAAAGGCAGAGTCAGTTGATAACTAAGGACTGAGAACATGGTTTGCATACAAGAGGTCCAGTTTCAATCTCCAGCACCAAATGATCTCCTGAACATGGCCGGATATACCATACCATGCCTCCACCCCCCACCCCCGCCAAAAGAGAAGGGAGAAATTATTTTTATTATTCTCACTACACCATTACCCAACTGCAGAACGCACGCTAAAACTCCAGCTATTTTTTTCAGACATTCCCAGCCTTCCTCGAAGTAACTGCACTTGGCCGCGTGGTGGCGCCCAAGTCTCTCTTTTCTCTAGTTTC